ACGCGAGACACGATCTATATAGCATAAGGTCAACGTTTGGACTTGCATACGCGTACAGCACGCACACAGATCGCGTCTTTCTTATATGTATAAACGCTGGATTCTCGCGAGGCTGCATAATACGGACGTAAAAGCGGTGACTACGTTGCGTTATATTCGCTTTCGTTTTTGCACGATATTACTTATACAAACAAAATGAACATCGTAATTCACGAATGTGCACGGGGCCACGTGTAAGCATGTACTTTATGTATTATATACATGTGAGTAAAAATTATCGCAGCCTCGCGTGCACGCCCGAAGTTGAATTATAGAAACTGCACGAGAGAAAGTGAGAAAATGTATATACATCACTCTTTTGATAGGCGGAAAATATCGGGCTCCGACTCGCCTATTCGCAATATCGCGATCGGTATTGAGCATAAGGCAAAAATATTTGATTCGATCGCAAAGTGCATTACCGGCGATTGCAGCTACTGATTTGTTGTAATTTGCTTATTTGCATGTATAATTAATGAAAAAAATATTCAAAGTTAACACGACTAATACATTATTGCGAAACGTTTATTTTTCTGTTTCGACGAAGCGCGACTGTGGCAGCGAGGAGTAATACCACAATTGATGCTACGTTAAAATTTGTAATAAAAAAATGAAAGGGAAAACTGGCAAAGTTTTATTTATTCGTTTTCTAAGATCAATTGTTTTATGTAAAATATTTAATATTTTGATTAGTTGCAGTTGCCTTGTTAAAAACAAAAGTGACATCACTTTGATAAAACCCAGGCAATCCTGATATGACGCGTAACAATAGAATGAGAGACTCAATTTAATAAGTTAAATTTTATTACACATTTAATGCAAATGAAAACAAAAATTTGATCTTCTCATTGTTATAAGCTTTAGCTGAATCAACCCAGAAGCTTTTAAGATGAGTTAAATTATCAAGGTTTTCCACGACGCGTGCGCGAGAAGAATTTCTTTTAAAAATTTTACCTTTACAGCGGAGTTCTTTCAGATGAGGAATAAAAAAATCGAAACTAATTGTTAAATTTATTTATTTGAATGATTGATAATGGGTAGTATACAACATTAAATAACACCAAAGACTGCAAATATGCTTATTGACATCACGAGCTTTGATCTGTGGCCGCCAAGCAAATGTGATATAAATCTTGGTTCATAAACTTCTCGACGATGGATTCACAGACCTCAATTGGCAGCCTTTGGTGGAACAACTCCCAGAAAGGATCCAGTGCCCAGGACCGGAAAAATCCTCTCGGCATTTTCTCACACAGATGCAAAACACAAGCCTCACCAAGTGTTTTCGGGAACTTCCACCAATGTATCCAGGGTGCTATCAGGTTGATTTCCAAATAAGAGGATTGCTTCACTACCTCTTCGGCTGGTAACTGGATGAGGTCGTAGAACGACAGACTCGAATTTACCTCCAACTTTTTCGCTTTTCTCACGAATTTTTTGTTATTATACAAACATGCTTGGAGACCCGCCGACTTGTCGAACAATTCATAGTCGGCGAAAACTTTGATGACCGTCAGGGCGTCACTTCGGTCTAGTTGGTATCCTCTCTCCTCTAGACAATCGACGACGACCATAGCAGCGGACGCCATTCTCAATTTTTTCCCAAGAGTATACCGACCAGCTTTGAATTGAGATTCGCCCCGGCTAATTGCAGCGGCGTCCGGCCTAACTTGTCCCGGGCGTCGACCTGCACCTGCTGATCGAGTTTTTTGTTCATTTTGAAGAACAACTCCGCAAAGTCACAATTGTCTTTTCTCTGGCAAATAAAATGTAAAGGTGTCAATCCCTCCTCGTCGGCCATATTCGGGTCGGCACCGAAAGTCATCAATCGGAGAATCTGTACTTTAAACTCGTTAGCCACAGCATAGTGTAGGGCTGTTCGACCTAACTTGTCTCGAGCATTGATGTCAACTGTTTTCTGGATGTCTTCGACGATTCTGAAGAATATCTCCGTTACGCTCTTAACATCTTTCAGAACATCAGGTATCCTCTTGCACATTTTGTGTAATGGTGTTAATCCCTCCTCGTTGGCCGAATTTGGGTCAGCACCCATTCTTAGCAGATATTCGGCCGATTCATAATATCGATTCTCTACAGCAAAATGAAGCGGAGTGTTTCCACAATTGTCTCGGGCATCGATCTGCACCGACTTATATTTGTCGTTGCTGTACTCGAATAAAAACTTCAAGGTCGAAACAGAGTTGCTTTTTCTGCAAATAACATGTAGAGGTGTCCATCCTTTCATATTGACTACATTTAGATCAGCGCCATTCATCAGCAGCAATTTTAACACCGGCAGGTTGGTACAGAAGCTGATGTTAAGATGCATCGGAGGATTGGCTGATTTTTGTGCTTGGCAATTGGGATCCTGTCCAAATTCGAGGAATTTCTTGACGGCGTCTTCGCAGCCAGTCATGCAAGCCACATGAAAGTGGGTGTAACTGAAGTCATCGATGTAATTCACATCGAACCTATTGTAGATTTCAAAAAGGTAATCGACGAAATAACATTTATTCACGGCTATCTTGCATCTAACCAAATGGTGCAGAGGTGTGGTGCGACGAAACACTGGCATACCGTTTTTGTCAACGTCGGGCTCATCTGTGTAGCCTGTTGCAATCACGAACTCAATGAAGAGTAGTGCTCTTTGAAAATAATCTTTGTTTCTATTCAAATAATATATGGAATCCGTAAGAAGCAGCTCGATTTCTTCCTTTTGAAAAATATCTCGAAGATCTGGAAGTTGGCTCTTCCAATTTTTAATCAAAGGACGAATTTGACGGAGAAATTTGCGTCGCTGTTTATTGGCCTTCCAATTGATCTTGTCACGTAGGCTCTTAAATTTTTCTAATTTTTTTTGGTTAAGATGATTCACGTCTTTGGAATCATTTCCGTGAATTTCATCGCCCTTGCTTTGAAAACTTTCAGCAGATTTCTCAACGGAAGACATGTCTATACTTCCGTGCACACACAATCGCTTATAGTTTAAGATACTTTTTATTTTTCACAAAAATCCTTTGATGCAATCAATGCAGTCAGCTAACACTGCGCTGCACGATTTAGGAAAAGAATTGAGAACACGTGGTCGAAATTACGAGTAATTTTTTTACGAGAATCATTTGAAGACGTCGATGCAGTCAGTTACCTCTGATGCTTATGCGTTGGCGTCTTAACTTGGACTGACTGCGCACATGCACTGTACGATCTATTAAGAGAACTCAAAACGCATGGTCGAAATTAAGAGAAATTTTTTTTTAAACTGAGATGCTTACGTGTTAGCCGTGGCCACTCGTTTGTATAACGTAGGCGACAATAATAACAATAGAATTGCCTCCGACAAAGTGAAATAAATTTGTCCGTATTTTTTCACATTTTTTTCAGTCACTATTAAAACATTTATGATTTCTCGTGTCAACCTATCAGTTTTTTTTAATCCAAACTTGATTCATCTTGCTAAAGTGTTGTTCTGGGGAAGTGTTTGCATGTGTAATGTACAATGCATATAATCTAAAAATGTAGCAAACTCTGAGAACATTTTAACAGTAAACAATGTGATATAGAAGTTTGGAATATCGGTCGATTCTATTGCAAATTCATGCAAGATCAAAGAATACCAGTGCTGAATAATTAGCTCAGTCTGTTTCGAATGTTAGTATATTGATCTACACGCTCCTTTATTAAAATATTTCCCATATGCATTTTCAAAAAGAATAAACTAATATGTCTACGTACATGTAGATACACCGATAAGTTGCGCACATGTTGATAGTTGATTATTTGTTGGAAAAAATTATTTGCATATCAAATCACTAAAATATTGATAATGAAACATTTCAAAGTGACATTCACACTGAGCGCAGCAATAGTCAAAAGCCATTCAAACATAGTGCACGTGAAAGTTTATGGTCGCTCGATATCGAACGGCAGCGCAGTGGTCGCACAATCGGAGAATAGGATCTTTCGAACGATCGATCGAGTGCTGTAATGGACAATTATTTCAGCCATTATTGACGAGCGCTACCACCGCAGCCAAAAGTTAACATTTATATCATTGGTAACAACAGTCAAAAACTCGGCGAGATACCAATAGTATTATTCCACGTTATGCCAGTATCGTTGACTAAGCAACCTCTTGTCTTATGATTCTCATAATCGCATAGTCACTGAATGTCGCTCGCATTGATTTTTTCCCCTGTTGATTATTACTTGCGTGCTGCTTGGATAAACGTCCAAAACACTGGTACGCGATATTGCTGCAACTATTCAAATGCCGATTGATAGATACGCGATTCGTTTGTATATTAATTAAATCTTTCATCAGGCTAAGCGTAGCATAATTGCTATAAGTGTACGCACATGCATGCGTATAAATATATGTAAGAAATGGCCAGAAGCTGTGCGCAGGTTTTATATATTCGTCGATAACAGAATCTCTAGGTCGTAATGCGATATTATACGTAAGGGGGATATACGTCTAATGCAGAGAAAAGCCGCTGCGAGTTGTAGCACGACATCGCTTATCGATCTTATCCGATTCGAAAGCAAAAGTCCAGACGGACGCGGCAAAAATACAAGTGTTGTTAATATAGCTTACCGTTAATACGCACATTATGCATGTGCTAGTAAGCTGTTTACGCTTCGATTCGAAGACAATTCTCGTATACCTGCTCTAAAACGAGCAACGTGCCCACTGAGATGTATTGCACGAGGTCTGCAATTACTCGAGATGCTTCCTATTTGTATATATAGGCAGAAACGAGACCGAGTCCGTTTTGGTGCGTAAATCTACGAGTCGTTGCGCATGCAAAAGTTGGCGTCGATCGGCCAAACGAGCGATTTATATTAGCTCGTTGATCGAAATCGTGCGGGTCTGACTCGTTTCACGTTTGATTTGCATATCATACAATGCAGCAAGGTTGGTAAAGACGAGACTGATTCGTTATGTATATTTTTGGTTACAGGGCTTGGAGCAGGAGCGGCACTTGCTGCGTCGAAAACTCGAGGAGGCCCGCAGCGAGAGCGAGGCCCGGGCGGTGGAGCTGCAAGGCGACCTCGAGCAGCTGCGCAGCCAACTGGACGAGCAGAGCGAGCGAGCCCGCAGAGCCGAGCGCGACCAGGCCAACCTCGTGAACGAGCTCACGGCCCAGAACGGCCGACTGGCCGACCAGCTGCGCGAGGCCGCCAAGCAGGAGGAGCAGCTGCTGCAGGAGCTCAAGAGGCTCAAGGAGAAGTGCGCCCTCAGGAGCAACAGTCTGCAGGACCACGTGAGCAGCCTCGAGGTCCTCAAAGATGAGGTGAGTACGTCGCCGTCTAATCATATACGAGGTTTTTTCGAGCTCTCCTACGCACAGCTGAGCGATAACGAGTGTAGATATCGCAATCCCGCATCCTTTTCCGCGCTCCAGTTTGCTCGCTCGACAAAACCTCGTTGCGATATATACTTAGTTGGTCGCGAGCAATGATCCGACATACGTACGTCTTTTTTCGTCGATGCATCGTAGGTACAACTGGTGTCGGCCCAGCGGACCGAGCTCGAGCGACGCAGTTTGGAACTCAGGGAGGAGCGGGCCAGGGCCATAGCGGCCCTCGAGGAAGCCGAGGAACGCGCCCAAGCCCTCGAACGGCTCGGACACGAAGCGGAGCGACGAGCCATCGTTGCCGAGCGTGAAAGGTGCGTATATAAATTCGTCAGCTTCTATACCTATCACGGCTTACGGCATCCAGCCATCGAGGATTATTTCATTCGACCTTGAATCTCTCTTCGAATGGTGCTGGATGGATATTTGCAATGAAAAGCGATTCACGCTTCGATTGTTCGTCTCTGCGTTACAAAGCACCTTTGTCCATTTCGATCGATTGATTTCTACTTCGTCTTGTTTCTCCGAGCATTTGTTTATCCAATGAGACAAAGCCAGAGTCTTACGCGACGTAATATTAGAGTTAAATCTCGACGCATGCTGCTCCAATGCGACGTACCGACTTGACCTTTCACTCGTCTTTTTCGATTCGCGGCTCGACCCTGACCTCGGACGATTGAAAGCCTCACCAAGATAGCGCACTTTTGACTGGATCGTGAAAACTTTATTTACCGCTCGTTAACAACATTACCAAATTTGATCCGATGAGACTTTAGTCGATAGGAAAAGTACAGCCGGATTCGTGAGATATATCTTTGCAAATGATCGAATGTACGTTCGATGTCGTCTTTGAATGAATAAAAGCAAAACATCGACTACAACGCCAACGCAGAATTAAAAAAAAAACGTCGAGTCGTGAGCATCAGCCTTGCCTTTCGAATGTATCGCTCTAGCTACGTGCCGCGAAGAAAAAAAAGCACTACAGCTATGTCATCTCGTGCAGTCGATCGAGCACTCGAGCATAAAGTTTAGACCGATGATTTTTCGAGCCGAGCGCAATAAAAAAGACCAGCGATCGCGCGGGAGGATGGCAAAAAAAAATAGGCGCGTATCTTGCTCTATAAAGTCGATAAAATCGAGCGAATAGGTCTGCAATACAATAACGGACGATGCTTTTTCTTATAAAAGACATAGTTATAAACGCCTACGCCTCGAACAAGAGATACGCTCGAGATCGTTCGTTCGATCGGTTGTTGTTGTTTTTTTCTCGTTCGCACCTACGTGCTCCGCGATGCCAGCTCAACGCTCATAATAACACTCGCGCATTATTTACGCGTTTGCTTCGATAAAAATCCTATTAAACGATCTGTATCGAAGAAACAACAAGCTTGCATCATCTTGGAATTCCGACTATACGATCCGGTTTGGAGGCATATACGAATGTTGTATTAAAGCCATATACATCGCTGTTTTTTGTTGCTCACAGGGACGAGCTGGCAGCGGCTCTGTCGGCCATGGAGGCCTCGCGGGCCAGCGGCGGCGCTCGCTTGGGTGCCTCGTCCAGCGGCCGATCCGTGTCGCCGACGGGCCGCCAGCAGCCCCGCTCGCTGCAGGCCGAGATGGAGTGCGAGGAGAGCGGCGGCAGCTCGCTGGGCCTGGAGCAGCAGGACCTGCGTCAGGAGGTCGACCGGGCCTGTCGACGGCTGCGCGAGCTCTCGGGACACCTGCGCCGGGGAGAGGACGACTCGGGCCTGCAGAGCGACTGCGACGAGTCCATGCTCGTGCTCAACCACAGCGGCCACGAGAGCGAGGTAAGCCCTTCGACCCTTTCCAACGATTCTTTATTGCGAATTCCGACAGCATCGAGTACGCGGCGAGCCTCTGAAAGCCTCTAATAGACTCTAAAAGCCTCTTCTCTCTCGAGCATATGGATATTATATAGTGCTCCGAGCACTGGACTCTTGAGCGAGAGAGCAGCCGCGTCCGTAAATATAAAAGCGAGGAGCGTCTAAAATATCTCCAGCAGCGTATAAATACGAGCGCAATTGGATGCTCGTACGAAAATTAAACCAGATCACGGCTCGTGCGCGCGGCTGCACTGGTGCAGCCAGGCGTCGTCCGTCGCGCTCCAAAGAGCCAAGACGTCTGCCTCGACGGCCGGACCATTTCGTGGAATCTCGACTCGAGGCGCCTATTCGCAAAATCAACCGTACGTCGCTCTCCTATTCGCACACCAACGCACATCGTGTACGATCTAGCTCCGGCCACATTTGTCCCGCATATGTTTGCGCGATCCACTTACGAACGTTGCTCGTGATATATTAACTTTTATATGTCAACGGGAGCGAATCGATTAATGTATGCATTTTTTTGTTCTACATCGCGAGCAGAACAACTTCTGTCCAGGAGCCTTGTCCGATCTCGTGGAGGAAGTGTTCGGCCTGGCCCTCAGCGGCGTGAGAGGCGGCCCCAGCGAGCTCGGCCTGGCCGTCGAACTCCACCGGTCCAAGGAGGAGCTCGAACAGACCAAGGACCAGCTGCGCCAGACGCAGGACGAGCTCAAGCGCAGAAACGAGAGCATCGTCGAGACGGCGACCAAGCTCAAGCTCTGCGAGGCCGAGCTCCAGGGCGTGCAGGAGGAGCGCGACCGAGCAAGGAACGACATCGAGCTGTCGCAGCTCTCCAAGGACCAAGTCCTCGCCCAGGCGATACAGGTAAGCTTTTTTTTCGCCCCTTCATTTTTTCTGCAAAGTATCGATTTTCGATGAGTCATTTTTCGTTGTATCATCCCGCAGACGAGGGACCAAGCCGTCGCGCGCAAAAACAAGGTCGAGGTCGAGCTGGCGCGCACCCGCATCGACATGCTACAGATCAACAGCCAGCTCATGGAGGCCATTCAGCAGAAGATCGAGCTGAGCGAGCAGCTCGAGCAGTGGCAAATGGACATGCAGATGCTGCTCGACGAGCACGTGCGCAGCAAACTGGCCCCGGTGCAGGCCCAGGCCGCCGGCTCGCCTGGTTCGCTCGGTGACGTCGTCGCTCCGGCGCGCAAGAAGCGCTCGAGCACCGCCTCCAAGAAGCGCTTCGGCATCTTTTGAGCCCAACGACACAACTCTATACCAATGAGACTGCAATATGATACTTAGTGAAATTTCCTTGAAGCCGGCGCAATTTACCTTGCGACGAGGCCGTCCGATGCCTATCGGCGACCGAGTTCGACGTCGACGTTCAGAGGCCAGAATGAGATACGAGCAGCTTGTAATTCCGTCCAAAAGCCAAACGAAGCTGTTGACCTACGGCTTGCTTTCATCACCATTAATATTCATCTGACGATTTAATAATGGACTGATGCAACTTTGAGCTTGATTTTATTCTTTGATTGATGCATTATACAGATATTTTTTAATATTGATTTTAGATTAAAGTGCGAGTGCCTTTTATGAGAAATAATTGATTTTTATTGATATACTGCAAAAAATGTACAGCTACATGATCTATATAGATTTTAGTGGAAAAATTGTATAGTACTTAATTTTTAATTTTAATTGTACAACCTTTGACATATATGTGCATTATGTATTTATTTTAGTAACACTGATTTCACAAAATAAAAAAAATAATTATTAACAATAAATTGTTCCTTCATTTGTGTCAAAATCTATGTACATTTATTTGTTGGCATTATACTATGGTTGAAATTAATGATAGTGAAATTATTAAAATTTGTGCAATTTGAAAACAACCTTGATACCTACAATTTATATTGCAAAAAGTAATCAAGTATTAAGCACAAGGTAAGAGCTTGATTATTTTTAGTTTGAAAAAATGAAATATTCAAAGTAATCAAAAATGCTGTTTGAAAATATTGAGAAAATAAACAATTTTTGAAAATAGTTGTGCACTTTTTTAATACAAACATAGCTATTCCTGAAAACGCTTGCTTTCAAAACACTAAAAATAAATATAATAGCATTTGTTGGATCATACTTTTAACACCATTGAAAAAAATATTATTAATAAAATTAGATAAAATATTTTATTCATCATACTTGGTAAATTCCTATGGGATGGACAATATACAAAAGTTTCTAAAATTATTGAAATTATACTCAGTTAGAATGCACTGAGGTTTATCAATTTTTATAAATTTTAAAACTATAACAACGACAGTATGAAAAAGTTGTGATACTTTTCTTATAATTCTTCATCCAAATCAAAATCATCCTCTGGGAAATCACCTATGACTACATGAGCCGGTTTAACAAATCCACCATACTTGTCAATGCATTCAAAATATTTTTTACCAGCTACTGACCCATTATTTTTTCCAAATGGTTCATCATACTTAACTCCTACCCACCAACCACTTTTAAATTCTGTATTACCTAAATACATAATAGTTGCTTTTCTTTTGGGAGCACCTGGTACATTTACTTCACATCTATCACCAATTTTCATAGATTTTATAAGTTTTTCTTCATTTTCTAATTCTTTTTGTTTCTCTTCTTCTTTTCGCTTTGTTTCCTCTTCATTGTACTTTCCTAATTTATGTTCTTTAAGAAATGCTTTGACAGTGTCGGATCTGCTAGCATATTGGTCTTCTGATAATTCAAATTTTTCGACAGCAGATGGATCAGCTGTATCACCCTCAGAATTGAGTATCACATGTATCCGCATTCCATCTTTTATTGGATATAATCCAAGAGCACGATCATTGTCATTTATTTTACAAACAATATCATTATTCTCATTGTACACTTCTAGCTTCATTGAATTAGATTGTCCACCAACTAATAATTCAAGCTTATTTTTGAACTCTTGAATGATCAAGTCTTTTTTGAATCTTCTTTCAATTGAGTGACCAATATTATTTGAATTTGTTATGGTAACATTTAAGTACTCACTGCTAGTATTATTTATCATATCCATTTTGAATTTCCTTAAAACGAAAATTTATAGGTTACAGATGAAACTTGAAAAATTTTTTTTTAATATTAAATCATAAATATATTTCGTAAATGTTGTTGTCTTATATTCTGTTTGTGCACTGAATTATAGGTCAAAACAAAAGAGAATATTTCAACAGTCAACTAATCATTGACGCTGTATATATTGATTATAATTACAATTTTATTATGTGTTGTGAATGAATCAAGCACTGCGCTTTGGTTTACTGGTATGTCATGTCACAACATTATAGATGATATGATGTTAGTGAGGTTAGAATAAGTGGGATTACAATGTCCAAATATGTCCACTTATCAACATGCAAGTTACACTTACCACTGCTATGCTTAAAGATTGAAAATTTCATAAGGATGTTTTTTTCCTCCATTTTTATGATGATAATAATAACAACATAGTCAAATCTCAAGTTGTAGAACTAAATTGCACTAAATAATTAAAAAAGTGACAATATAATGATAAACAATAAAACATTTGGATTTTAATTATAAAATTTTATTAGTCATTTATCTTATTTACTAAAGATAATTATATACAATCAAAAATATGCTATCAAATAATTAAAGAAATAACTATATCTTTCATATTCTTTTAGCAACATTATTTTCTTTGATAATCCAACTATCCTTGACGTGTCCAGCATACTTTAATTTATACTTCTTTATTTCCTTAACAATTTCTTCGGGTAAGCTGTCTTCAGATTCATAGTTTGTCTTGGCTTTTTTCGAGTCTCTATCATCAATTATTTGGTGTTCTTGACTACAAACATCCGGTTCTTCTTTTCTGGAGGAATGTAATGGTTCAATGTCAAATGATTCTGAAAGCATTATATTTGTTTCTTCATTTCTTATTTCATGCTCATTTTTTACATGCTTTTCTGATTTTTGAGACAAATTCACTGATTTTGAGGTGGAAACTTTTTTTTCTGATTTATGAGAATCATTATAATCTTTCTTTTCTTTTTTTTCTTTATTTTCTTTTATTGATCTCTTTTCTTTCTTATCTTTTTTATCTTTTTTGTCTTTTTTATCCTTCTTATCTTTCTTTTCCTTTTTTGATTTCTTTCTGTCATCATCTGTATGGTGCTTATTTAGAGTGTATTTAGAATGTGTCTTTTTCTTTAATTGAAAAGATTCATCTTCTGATTCAGATGAATCACTACTGATGCTAGGGCTTCTTGTTTTTTTATTTTTTTTTGAAACACTTTCATCTTTATGATACTTGTGTGATTTTGACAATACTGCTTTTTTCTTTGAACTTTTAGTTTCACTATCACTGGAATCAGATGAATCACTTTCAACATTGACCTTTCGCCGCTTATTTTTAACATTTTTTGATGAATTTTTACGCTTTCTCTTTGAGTCTTTTTTTTTGCTTTCGTATTTATCACTGCTTGACTCTGAATCGTCATCACTGTCACTGCTACTTGAAGAGGTGTCAATATGTTTTGATTTCTTTTTCAATTTTTTGCTTCGTTTTTTGTCTTCTCTATGGTCTTCTTTTTTATCTTTCTTTTTTTGAAGAACTTTCTTTTTCTCTTTCTTGTCTTTTTTATCTTTTTTTTCTACTTGGTCATTTTCATTTTGTTTATCATCGGATTCTTTTCTCCAGACAATGTCGCTGTCAGCCGCAGTTTTATCATCTTTTTCAGGTGAAGGAGTTTTAAGCCATTGATATGACTTTTTCTCAACTTCTTTTTTCAACTGAGCTTCGCGTTCACGCCTCTCTGGATCAAAACTCGTGCCATCTTGAAAATACTCTGATATTCCAAAAGCTTCACGCAATTTCGAGTTTTTCAGTTGATTTGCTTCGGCCAGGTGATGCGTTTCCTGTTTCAAGTTGTTGAAAGAAAAGTTGTCGGCTTTTAGCTTACGCTGCTCGTTTTCATAACACAGCTGCAAAGTGGCTCTGTACCTCGCTACCTCCTCTTCGATCTCTTCTTCTTTAAGTCCCTGTTCTTCCAAAGCTTCTCGATGCTCCAGAATTTTGACCTCGATGTCTCTCTTTTTTGCATGTAACAAAATATCTCCATTGGGAACCTTGTTAGCGAAATCTCCACGGACAGGCTGGTTTTCATTCGACTGTCTCTTGTGTTTACGAACGACGGCGCAGTTCTTTTGAACATAACCATTTGTTCCCGAACCTCGGGTGGTTTGCAAACCTATTCCGTTATACATGTCCAATAAAACACAAACTGCAACTGATCAAATGAAAAATTGAACTTTGGCACTTTCAATCTGCACTTGTAAACAATTAAAGAAGGTTATGTTTAGACATACACGCTATATTGTAGCTGAGCTGGCGATTGATGGACTATTGCGTTATTTCTCGCTACTCACAGACTTCACGTTCGTAGACCGTAGTGAACGTCTGAACGAGTAAAACTCATGCTGGCGCATGCGCGAACATTCATTGCAGAGGGATTAGTGATTGGTCATTAGCTGCAAAATGACAGTCTTAATTCTTGAGTTCGACACTGTGTCGCCGCCGAAATATGAAATTTTGACGTGAGTTGACTCATACAATCTTCAACCAATGCATGTTTGGAAAAGCTTATAGACAACGTTCATTATCTTTAGGCAAAGTGTTCAAAGAAAAGTCTTATAAACCTATTCAAAATTAGGCAGTCATGCCGTAATGCCACCAGTATTTAACTCTTCTTAGGGTTGAGAATTTCCGATTACTTGCACACCATAAAAATTACGATTTGTAATCAATATTTTACTTAATCCATATTTAATATTTAACCAATATCTAAGTCAATTTTATTTTTTCAGTTATATACGGATCATATTTTTTCTTGCAAAGAGCACCAAAGTACTAATTTTAAAAAGACTTTACCAATTAAAAACCATGATCAATAATAACTCAATTGAAAAAACTAATTAGAAATTTTTCTATTATCAGGACACTAATTGACATTAGTTAATGAGACTTCGACAGAAAAATATAACTACAGAAATTATACTTATAAGTGTATTTTATTTGATTGAAATTGTATATTTTGTAAAATAACTTTACAACGTTTGATATTAGAATTAAATTGAATTAATAACAACGAATTTGCTATAATAAATTTCATATAAATTATACATTTATCATCTTATTTTGCAAAACCATATAATGCTCAAAAATCGTGCATAAACAACTAGAGATTCTTGTACAATATCTTATTGCATTATAAACTCTGTATTAAATCGCGAGTAATACTTCTACACTCGCGAAAAATTAACTAACAAATTTTTTAATAAGTTAACAATAAAAATATGACTTCCTCCTGAGCTTAACATTGAAATATTCAATTTAATAAATTGAAATCTTGCATAAAAGTAAGTACTCACTTATGAAAATTACATCATAGTGTGCAAATTTAATAATATATAATGTACATTTATTACTGCTTCAGAGGAACACCTTAGAAGTGATTTGATAAAAAATTTGAAAGTACCAACGTGTTATAGGTGTTGATTTTTTATACAAATGAGTGTGAACTTAAAAATTCACTTAAAACATGACTGCAAGCTTTCCAATTACCTTCTTATACAGTATCATCGATTCAATTATACTTGTCAACTAGCTATATTCATCAACCTATAGTTAATTTTTAAGAATTGAATACTTTTCTTGATTCAAATATGAAATCTGATTAATTTATGCATAATCAATCTAATTTTCACGAGTACACTGCTAGAAAATGTTATATTGTAAATCATTAAGTATTAAGCATTTAATAAGTAATAATTGAAATTGGCCTATCTAGTTCAACTAAGAGTTAAATGACGATAATAATTGTCGTCCTGTTTCTATTAGAAGAGATTTGACATTTTCAGCGTGCACAATTTGATTACAAACTTCCGTGTATCGTTGATAACGTTCGTCATTATCTTTTGGTATTATGTACTGTAAAGATTTTGCAGGTAATACTTCTGCTATGTATTTTATAGTTTCTGTAAATAATTAAAAAAAATAATTTACGGATTATTACTGTTTTGTAAAATCGTGAATTTAAAAAGCAAATAAAAATCACCTGTCATGGTATGTTCAAAAAAGAGATGGGTATCAGGATTGGATGATTCATTCGACATTTTTTGTTGTAACAAATCCACAAGTGTTTTCCATTCTGATTCTCTGGTATACATATCCTGAGGAATGAATTTAATTTTATTTATGCTTTCAAGTGCTAAAATTGTGTACAAAATAAAATTTATTATTTTTACCTTAGCATAGGGCAATACAGCCTGAGGACATTTATCTATTAATAAATGAGTGATGGATTCTGTATTTTTATTGCAAAGAGTACGAAAAGACAAACTGCCTTGTATTTGTTCTGCATCAAGAAACTGTTCTACTTCTTGAAGGCACTCATTTGGTAAAAAATCACTGGCCATCAGAGCTTGCAATTTTAAAACTTCTATGCGTACATATTTTTTATTTTCTGAAATATTTAATTGGCATAATTCTTCAAAATCTGAAGCATCCATTATTTTTTGATAATCTTTAGCAATTGGTGGCATTTTGTCAAGATACTTTGGTCTTCGACTTTCAAATAAATAATTATCTTCATATTGCCATTCATTTGTAGTTGCAAGCTCTTCTGCTTTGGAAATATTTGTTTGCATCAATTTACTCAGATAAGAACGGACAAGAATTTTAAAAGCTTCTGTTAATGTAAAATCGTAATTCACGCCATTTCTATTTTCAATTTTGGAAAACAATGAATGAAAATAGACTTCAAGGAACTGTTGTAAGGCTGCAGCAGCATCTTGTCCATCTCTTCCTATTCGCGAGGGTAAATAATCAAGAAACACCTAAACATTCAAAATCAATATTAAAAGTCAATGAATTTAAAATTGATTGAAATGGAAAGAAGAATTATTAAAATTTAACTCACTTGCATAACTTGATAAAGTAAAAGTATTTCTTCTTCTATTAGACTTGTGAGTATTCTAGCAAAAACTGAACTTTTTTTACGTATTAATGTAGCTGAAAAATCCGAAAAAGAGAGATTAATTCTATTCTTTACATCCAAACCTTCCTCATCAAATAATAAATGTGGATAGTCTAGAATTGTTTTTAGTAAAAAGTTGTCCAATACTTTATTCAAAGCATTGTCAGCTAAAAATTGTTTTTCTGCTTGTATATACAATAAAGTTAAAGCTAAATTATAACAATCATCTTCGCTATTATGCAGGGTCAAAAGATTAATCAGTTTATCAGTTGCATACTCGCGTAGTACAGAACTAGTTAATATTATTTTGAGTAAATCTTCACGACTTTCCAAACTTATAATATTAACAATATCTTGGACTTGGAATAAAGCATCAGCATCTGGACCACTTTTAATGTTTTTTAGAACATCAATAACATAAGTCACTAATCCTGGTGCATCTTGAGTTGATTTTCTCAACAATACTTCGCTTGGTTTTAATCCAGACATACAATAGTATGGAATGCAAAGCCGACGCTCTAATTCCTTATCTGATCTAATAAAATAGTCCCCTAATAGTGCACAAGACTGATTATAGAGACTTTCAAGTTTAGGATCAACAGAAAAGTGATCGTTTACATTTTCATGTAAATCTAATATTTCCTTTGATAAACGTAATATTGTATGTGCTTCCTCTAATAAATGACGGTATGTAGAAGGGCTGTTTGCTCTGAAAAAAAAAACCATTATTATTTACTAGTTTATTATAAAATACTTGACAGTTTTGAAGCAAACAAATAAATTGAGTACTTGTGGTTTTTTGCAGCATTGATTATATCAAAGTAGACATTTTCTGGTCTTGGAAGTCTTAATGAATAAAGGGTCCATGAACTTTCAGCTTTTGCAAGTAATACAATACTTTTGTCTGAATTGATCATTTGCTGAACTCCTAGAAATGGTCTCAATCCTATTAAGCAAACTGGTTCGGACACATCTGGACACATAGTTTTTTTACTTTGTTGTTGAGGTCTACTTTTAGCTACATGATGCGGCAATCGGAGAGTGTATGACTCCAATCCGGCTTCTGTTAAAGCATGTAAAACTGTATACTCCAATGCAACATGAATAACTGGGGCTGTAAATGGGTAGGTAGTTAGACAAGTTGGATTATTATCATCACTACTTTCTGTATTAAAATGGTACATGTAGCCTTCTTGTGTGGTACAGATTAAACAAGTTACTCCATGAAGATATTTATAACTGTCTGACTTCAAAATAGATTTCTTAATTCCATTGCTATTATTGTCATTTTTTGTGTACAATGGTTTAATGACAAAACTTATGAAAAAATCAGAACTACCATCAAGATTCATAACATCACTTGACCTGGCTATTTTCAACCTCAAAATGTTTCTAACAACATAATTTTCAGACCAACCATTGCTTGGAGAATTTGTTTTAATTGAAATTTCAGTGTCTATGGAATTCAAAACAAATGGATTAAGTGTATGTCCTGGTCCAGCTCTCTCAAGTGATATAGAAGGCAAATTAATTGTGACAGGAGATGAAGAATTTTCAAGTACCCCCTCATTTATCAATGATTGTAGCTCTACTTTTTCATTACTAAACAAGTTATTCCAGTCAATGAAAGACTTTTTCTTAATTTTTGTTTTTGAAAAATCTAACGAAGATTGTGGATTAGAATTTTTATCTGTACAATTCTTTAGACTAGACTGGCTTTTAAGTCTATTTAAACTGCTTTCATTACTTTCCAAACCAGAAGTAGAGTTGTCCACTGTTTCTAAACTGCAAAAATCAGTGGATACAGTAGTTTTATCATTAGAAGAAGTAGTTGTAGTAGTAGTTGATGTAAAAGAACTCATATGATCTATGTCATCATAAAAAGGATTAGTCAATCTACAAACAACAAATCTTGTAGCATCCATAGCTGCTATAAAGTCCTCAACTATATCCAACTTGGTTGGGGAAAATTTTAAACCCAGAGACCAAGGTCTAGCTTCAAAATCAATGAATTTCATTTTTGCTGGGCTCTGAGTTTCGATCTTGAACTCATGCAATATAAGAGTGTTACCAGTAGCTACAAGTAAATTTCCAGTAGTTTGACAACAAGCTATAGCAGTAGCTTTGGCCGACAAAGGCAATTCAATCATTTCAAGACCATTCAATGGTCTATTTAAGCTTGGCGTTACCCGGCCGGCTATGCGCGCCCGCATAGCTTGCTTGTCTTGACTAGCCCAGTTGACATAAACGCGAACATAAGTTCCACAGTCCTGAGATCGCTGATGCTGCTGGGATTGTTGCGGCGAGAGCTGCTTTTGCTCCAGGGTAACGACGTAATTACCCTTGACGCAGTGCATTATGCAAGTTGGCAAATCGACCGTAGGAAATCTGGTGAGCAGCGGAAGTTCCGGCTGGCCAAGATCGCGGACTTCGACGCAGTGGGACGCCAAGGCCAGCAGCAGCAGTTCTCGGCGATGAGGCGCGCTCGCGACGCAGCTAGCTTGAGGTTCTTCGATTTGTGCAACATTTTGCTCTTGAAAGTTGTGCACCGGTATGACACGCACCATTTTTTGGTCAAACGAAGGTCAACACTTCGTGTCACGAATTACCAAGCGAATCTTGTTCACAACTACAGACAGTCCTCGGTGGCTCGGAGATATAATTTCTTCAACGTCGTCTCGTAATGAATCAACTGTCATAGTTACTGTAATTAAGGATGATTAACATAGTAAATAACGTTTAATGGTATTTTTTACGGCAGGTGATTTACACTTTGTACTTCAGTTTTCAATAAATAAACTGTGTTCGCCAAAAAATGCATAAACATTCTTTGATATGAGCGTGTAAGTATGCAACGCAGTAATACACAATAAAGACACAACCCAACAACGGCCGAGTGCCGAGGGGGTATTGAGCAAAACAATTCGCACAATGTCGTCTGCTGCGACTCTGCGATCGAATGCAAAGGAGTTGCTGCCGTACGTAACTACCGTGCAAAATATTGTAGAATCTAACTTGAATAAGGAAGTAATATAGAAATATCTTTTTTCTAGTGATTTCAGTAGTGAAACTTGAGACAAATTTTTATATTTGAATGAATTTTTTTTCAGAACACTTTTAATTGTTTTAAATTGAATTCGTCGTAAACATTTTTTATAGAATTTCTTTAAAATTTTATTTAAAAAAGTATGTTCCTACAAATTCATTCATGGATTATTGAAATAAATCGTTGTTTTAAAATGATTTGTTCGTGTGTTTTTTGAATTTAAAATGTCATGTTAAACTTTTTTCATACTTAGCGGGAAAAGTCTTACCGCACGTCTTGAATCTTGATCACAGCACAGCGGCAGAGCAAGAAGGTGTAGCTACTAAACCACTCTTTTACAGAGGGCGCAGAATAACGTTAAAGCGAGATATCGTGAAAAAGTGTAGTCAGTATTCATTTTTATACAGCCAACGAGTTCCATGTGCATGGTCTAGCCATTAGCTGCTACAAAGAGTGATCAACATTCATTTTTGGTGCCGTTCTCTACACTTTGTTACATTTTTGTATTACTTGGATGACGAGTAAGTAATTTTTTAACTTGAAAATTTGATTTTAAAAGCGTCGCTTCATTATTTCCACACGCCTGGAAGAACCTAAGAATTTTTCAACAATTTTTCGTTTCCATTTTTCTTAATCTTTTGGTACGTTGCAATTTACAGAGGCAGCCTGTCCAGTAAAAAGTCCTCAAGAAAAATTGAAAGAAATTGAAATGGCAGAAATAGCTAAAGTGTACATAGAAGAAGATGAAGACATTCAGATAGATTATGGTATAAAGATAGAATCTATCGAACATTACAGTCCATCAGGTATTATAAGACAAGGATTGCTGTTTATTAATTGACCAAACTTACATTTAATCGTTTCGTTTACTTTTTTCAGATAACTTTGAATTCCCCAAGAATCCTTTATATTATATGTTGAATGAAGAAATCGAGGGTAAAATTATATTAGGAAAATATAAGAAAAAAAAAATTCTCCTTGACAGAAGACTTACTCATTATATCATACGGAAAGTAATTATGGAAAATCCAATAAGACTTAAGTAAGAATTTATTATACAAAATATTACTTGAAAATGTATGACTGGTATCTACATGATAAAACAATATACTTGGGTTTGAGCTCTCAAGTAATATTATTTTTGATTGATTTTAAAATTATATTTGTTCTATTTTGATTTTTTTTTCATTTTTCATCATACATGGATGCAGTCAAATATATAAATTATTAGTTTCATAATGAATTTCAATTTCCTGTTTGTATAGACTCATTTCCATTTTATAAAAAACGTTCTACTTTTTTTTTTTGATTGCTAGTTTTTCTCAGCCTATTTTATTAAATCTTTCATAATATTGCTAGTCAATAAACTTTTATTTGGTAGCTTAAGCTAATATTATACTTACACACAATAGTTAATATTATTTTGTACTTTTTTTTAAGTTAATCTGTTTTTTATACATTTAATTTTGTTTTCTAGTAGAAATGTATTTTAACACTCGTAGAAAATTTTACTTAATGTTTTTGAAAAATGTATATGTACACTCATGCGTGGGGCATTAATTTTTTTTCCAGAATTACTCAAGACAGATTCTTGGAGCTGAGGAACCAATTGGTAGAGCTTTTCCCTACAGTGAACCCTTGTAACTGGTTTTCACCTCGAACAACAAATATACGTGGAGAATCTCTTGCATGTACTGGAAGTTTGTACAATTATTATAAATGCTTTAGAAGTGAATGCATTGATGCTGGAATAATTGGAACAAAAAAAACAAATTTTCCACCAAACCAATTGAACAACCACCAAGAAACTGAACAACATTCAGGTAGTTATAAATTTTAATGTGAACAAGTTTATGACAATTATATTACAATGAAATAGAAATTACATTGGAATTGATTTTTATCTTTCAGAAATTTTCGCAAAAAGTGAATTAATAAATCTGATGGGAGAAGAAAATCCAGCATTGTCCACAAAATCTATTTACACAATATGGAGTGAAAGTTTCAGTGATCGTCAACAAATGCTAATTGATTTCAGGGGTACAAAAATGGAAATACAGTATTCTACCTATATTAACAATTTTTGGTGCCTGAAAACAGCAGTTGGATTATCATTGGTAGGGTAAAACTTATAGTCAAATATAAATTTAAAATTAGATAATGGGGATAATTTTATGTAAATTTATTTTTTCTAACAACAGCTTATAGAAGACTGTAATCAAATTATACAAAATTTAGTAAAAGAAAATAAAATAAGTGAAAAAATTGCTGCCGATTTTGGTGGTAGTTTAATGAGCAAGTGGCCTACAATAGCAGACAAAATCGTTAAAATTGGCGATGAATCTACAATTTCAGAAATAAAAAATTTTCGATTTGAACTTCGAGAAAATTTCGACAAAGGTAAAATTTTTCCAATTATATATATTTTAATTCTATAATTTTCCACAATTGTGAATGAATTTTAATTTCACAGCTTCATCTTCAACTAAAGCTCTGCTCTACTTACCCTTTCTTCTTACAAAGTGTACAACGATAAAGAAGCCAGATTGCAATGCAATTCGTCTCACTAAAAGTGATATATCCGAATTCTTTATTTCATTCATAGAGGTAATTCCAAATAAGCAATAAAATATTTAATAAATTTATGTTTTAATGCATAATCTTCTTCCAGAATGAATCTGAACTAGATGAAAAAATAACTTCTATATCAGAAAGAATTGGAGCCGTTGATGCATGCCTTCATCCATTCATTATATGTTGTGGCAAGATAAATGATATTACAAAGACATTTGTAGTGATAAATAGGTTTCATTACCAAGTTAAAACTCTTTTAGTAGCTGTTGATTACTGTTTCAAGGCATGCACAGCATTACATACGTGGTCTAATTTACTATCAAACGTTTATGCATTTCTTCAACAAATGGTTTATAATATCAAAGTTGGGCTGAGCATTGCATTTGTCCCAAAATCTTTAAAAGTTGTTGATACTCTGATGGAAAAAATTGCAAAAAATTCTTTGTAAACAAAATGTTACTATTAAAATGATTCCAACTTAGTTTTTAATTGTTCTACAGAGTACCTAATTTTTTAACTATTGACTTTTGGTACGTTAGTGGCTTCTAAATACAGTGCATTTAGTTGAATGTGGCAGGGATAGCGGTTACACTTTATGGCTCTCGATGTAACTCTTTATAGCGTAAAAAACGTCTAAATATTCTGTTTCCACGTTACACGCAAAAACGTATGTTCCCATCATTATTAATTATTAAAATTATTGCCTTCATAGTTTTATAACATTGAAAAGTATTAAATCATAATTTTAAATACTATGTAACTACAGTTTACAATAATTTTATATACAACTATTGAAATTTGATTAAAAAATTATTCAAGTGCTTACATGTTATTTAAAGACTACCACAATTTATTTTTTTGGGAAAAAATACTTATTGCAAAAAAATCCATTTACGATAAAAAATGATTTATTGAAGTTATTTTTATAATTTACTGATGATTTGGAGGTTCTTTGGAAACATCATGTTACAAGATAACATTCTTGTGATATAAATAAGATATTAAAAATGATTTTAAAATATACATGTTATGTTACTTTCATTGTTTCCACGAAACTTCATTCCACAGTAGCAAGTTATTATCAAAGATTCTATAAAACTTAATTGTGTAGGTAAACATTTCCTATAAATTTCTCACTTCTTTAATGTAAGAATGTGGTGTGTTAGTGGAATGAAATATTAAAAATTTTATAAACATTTTCGCAGAATGTAAGAGATGAAAAAATACATATGACAAGTATTCATGTGTCCATAAAATATTTAAAGGTAAAGTGAAAAACGACGTAATATACATTTTGCAACAATAAAATGCATTAACTTAATAAAGAAAGCCTGTAAGAAGGCTACAACTGCATTATACCATTTAATATATTAATTTGTATAACAGCTGCGCTAGCAAGTTAATGCAACATCTTCAATATTGAAGAGTTCGCAATTCGTCCGAGCTAAATAATTTCTATAATTATTTCAATTACAAAAACTTTAAACTGTGAATTTACACTCTGGTCATCTATTCTTCATTCAGTTTAAAGGCAATGGCAATTCACTTTTGAATAGGTGTAATACTTGATTCTTCAGGCCATATGTTAAGTTACACTTACACTAATTTTGTTTTTGCCTTATAACTGTCTTTGTTGTATTATTCACATTATTTAGCACTGTCCCATTTACAATCTCTTCAGAGATTTCTTCACTACTATCACTACGAATATCACCTTCCATCTGCAAAAAATATGAATGAAATTAATGAACTGAAAAGATACAATATTATTAAAAATATTAGTAATTATTTATTACCTGTCCAGCCATTAATGCATTATAAGCTATTTTTAAGATAAGCCAAGTCCAAAAAGTGTGTAGTACAAGTAAAAGACTTAGTAAAGAGTTAAAAATATAGTATGCTGGGAACATCGGCACTATCTGTGGTGCTTCAATTAAGGTACTAAAAATCATACATGAAATTATTAATTTGGAATATTCAATGCCGAAAAAAATCGATGATTATTTTGAAATATACCTGTAAATAATCCAGAATGGGAAAATACCCATTCGTGTAACAATCCATAATACAGTAAAGATTACAAAAATAAAGTCACAAACTCTTTGATAGTTTGCATACTTAGCCATTTTTGCTGCCTGTAAAATTAAAATTATAAAAAATTTCTATTAATTACTGGCTGTAAATTTTATATTACAAGTATTTCAAACTCCAAGTGAATTAAAGTATTTTTAAAACATAGTTTTCAAGATGTTGAATCAACTCTTGTACAAAGAAAAATAGTGCATTTTTTTAATTTTTAGAGAAAAATAATTTAAATTCAGGAAACATGTTGAAAAATTTTCATTTTCTTGTTTTTGATATTTTTTGAACATAGTGTATAAAAAAAATTGACATACCTCCAAGAAAATATCAGCACAGTCATGAACAAGGAGTACAAGAGTGCCAATTCTTGTGAGATTCCCAATCCAGGAAAAGCACATTAAAACAATAGTTGCTATATGATGTATGAACATTTGCCAAAAATCTTTACGTTTAACATCAAAATACTGAGAAATACTCAAAGACCAATAAAAAGCCATGGATACCATGTAATACCACCATACATCATTAGTCATTGGATGATAAGGATAGTTGTAGTAGCAATGGTTTATATCCCAAAGCCATTTTTTATCCCATAAAATATATAATCCAAAAAGAAAAGAATAAGTGTAATAAAGACATCGCCAACTATTTTCACAAAACTTGGTGAGAGTTGATGGTTTATCTTGAGTTTTTCTTAATCGAAGCCATCTCTCTACTTGTCTTTCAGTCCAATCTAATTGTTTAGCAAGTGCAGTGATCTAACAAATAAAAAAGCACATTTGTTCATTAAAATAAATTTTCAAATCATTATTAATTTTTATTTTATTAATATTTTACCTGTTTTTGTTTAATTTTTTTTGTTGCATAAGCCTTTTCCAGAATAGGATTAGGAGTTGCTTTTTTAGACCGTGAAGTTTTGATACCCAAATTTCTTCCCAAAGGTGCAAAGCAATATCTGAAAAAATCAGATAAAATTATTGTCATAAGTATATTTATTAAAATACTATATAAAGTTACAATGTTATAATAAATTTACACTGGTAATAAATTATAGAATGATTCATCTAAAAAAAAAGTATGTTTTCAATTTTTTCAGTTCTTTACACTTGTAGAGATATATTATCAGCATTTTTCAAGTCAAAAGGTTTAATTCCAAAAAATAAAATTGGTTGTCAACAACGTGATAACTTATCCGTAAACGGCAATAAAATGAATATGGAGTCTTTTAAAAAAAACTATTTCATCCGAAAAATATTTTTGATTTCAAAAAAAGACCAATCTTATTTACCGAGGGCTGAAAGAAACGAAAAAACTAACTCAAGTAACAAGGTATTAAAATGGAATTTTTGGCAAAAAAGAAACGATTGTTAGAGAAAAAGATATTTTTATCAACAGCGAGCATAAGCGAATAAAGGCGACATACTCGCATTATGTGTACAAGTTTTACATAACAAAAATTCTTTCGGTTCGTATCGCACACTGGCTTGCATTATGTACACTCGTGCGAGTATTGCAAAATAATTCGCCCCCGTGCATTTTCTCACTGAAGAGATGGAGAGAGAGAGAGAGAGAGATGAGAGAGAAAACATACACACGGAGGCTGAAATGTCATTGCCGGCTTGCTGCAATTTATAAATTGAAATAAGAATAAGACCGTCGTGCATTTAAAAGTCGATCATTGCAAAAAAAAGAGGAACGAAAAATGAAATTGTTCACGCGGAAGCCGACTACGACGCGGTCGAACTCGTTCTGTAAGGGATTTCCACGAGAACGGCAACTTCTCAAAGGCGCTTATATGTTGTATCATAATAATGTTGCATTGCATGCTGGCATGCACGTCGTGCTCCGTGACGCCGAGACGATGCGGCATTCTCGGTCGCGGGCAGCAAGTAGCAGAGCAATATATACCTATATATAAGTAGTCATAACACTTATCATGTAAGTATAATTTTATATCGTGTATCAGTGGCGCGCGCGCGTGTTTTTTCGCAACCTAACCTCGCGTCTTTGCCTCTCTCTCTCTCTCTCTCTCTCACACACTATATCATATATGTGTAATAGCTTGCGCGCCTCGTACTACGCTATCTCGTGGGACACGCATTTTTTGGATTCACCGGAGCACGAGAGCGAGCGACTGTAATGATTCGAGTCATATGTTTATTGGGCAAAATGGGAAGGCCAGCGTGCGGTGAATGAATCAAAGACCCGCGTCGTTTCGATCGTAATCTCGCAATGGGTCGCCGTCACGATAAGAGAGCCGCGTGTGTAATCGCGAACCGAGGCTCTCGCGTTTATTATAGCCGATGAGGTAGTACAGCTAGAGGCGAACATAGCGTGCGATATAGGCTTGTAATAAAATAGACGACGACAGCAGTTGGGCAGGGCAGGCACGCAGCCGAGATAGCGAGGAAAACAAAAGCGAAAGCGAGCAGAGTAGCATGGACATACCTTTCCAGGGCGTATCGAAGCAATAAAAGGGCCACTGCCATGGGCAGTGGATAGGCTAGCTGCCGGTAATCGGCGTATCTGTTTTGCGGCGTCGGGGCGATGTCGGCCCAGCTAACGTTCGGCGGCAGCCAGATATTCGGCGTCCAGAAGATGTCGGAAAAGTTGCGTGCCAGCTCCATGGCCATGGCGTCGCTGCGAAGGGCTGCAGCAGCGGCGAACACGAGTCGGTGGCTAAGAGCAGGCGAGCGAGTCTCGGCGGCCGAGTTGTCGTTGCAGCGGCAGCAGCAGCAGCTAGCTAAGCTCGCTGTGGTATAACGAACGCGCTGCCTCAGCCGGCCTCCTCCTCGCGACTGCGATCACTACTCGTGACGACTGCCTCGGCCAATTGGCTGGGTAGGATGTTGCTTCCGCTGCTGCTCTCGGGCGCTTGTGTCTTGCGGCATGTATGCAGCTGGCTGCGGGGCACATTCGTCGTCGTCGTCGTCGTTCGGCCGAATTTGTTTATATGTTGATTGGCGTTGTCGATGTGCTCCTCGCTGTCCTGCAATGGCTCGTGTGTCTGCGTTATTGCGGCAACGCGACAAAGCACAACACTGGTGACTATAGGATTGCCGTTGTCGGAAGCACCTGCAGCTCGGGCTGCGCGCCAACTTGTACTGCAACGGTAGCAGCAGCAGTAGTGCGACTGTGTAATTGTGAGCAGTAGACTCGGAGGTCCGCAGCACGCGACCAGCTATACAGCGCTCGCGACTCGTCGCTGAGTCAGAATTACTATTATGTTACGAGAGAGAAAATCGCAGCCGCTGTTCTCTGGAGTCTCTCGCGGTGGTGTCGCGCCAGCCGCAGCAGCAGCAGCTTATAAGTAATATATACTATATACTCGTGCACTGCACTCACGGCACTGCACTGCGCACTCACACACTTTTGCACGGCACACGCGCACACTCGCAAATGTCGCAAATACGAATGTCGTAGAATCGGCGCGGGGCGCACGCCTGCAACTCGCATATATAGGTATAAATGGAACGCGACGATAGAAAGCAAGAGGGAAGGAGAGAAACCCGCCGCGATCCGAACGTAGGAGTATCGAGATGTGCAGCTATCGAGAGCCGACAGCACGCGAACAGTGACTGTCTCGGTGAATCGAGTCTCGCGAGCAACGACTCCAAACTGAGCAGCTCATGCGATCGTGCGACGTGTCGCCGATCGACTCCGCTACTCTAATCTATCCTATATCATATACGCGCCTCGCACAAGGCTAACACCTACTTAGTCGTGGAGAGGGTATCTCGCCGTATTCGACTCAGAGGGGAAACATGAACATTTTCTAGTCTGGCTTGCTTACCAATGTCTTTTTCGCCCTAAGGGTGCTAACAAGTACAGGAAATCTTGATCTTTTTAACAATTTATACTTTTTTTTAAACTTTTTCGGTCGAAATCAATTTTTCTTCGAAATACAGATGATATCCAATAAAAAAAAACACCTCATACTGCATGTACGACGTACGATAGTTATTTAGATATAAACAATAAAAGTTATTGATAAAAAAATTTCTGGACATTGTTCTGATCCTTATAGCGCGCTGTAAGATGCGCAATAAACTACTGCGCCACATAAACATTGAAGCATAGTCAAGAACAGTTCTCTTTATTGCATTAAAAAACATTGGATAACGTGTATTTTCGAATTGCAACGCGATTCGTATTGTTCAAGTTCAAATTTTCTCCTCTTATAGATTTCAATTCATCAAGTTGAATAGAACAATATCTACGACTTGTCACAGGGTAAAATAATTAGAGTTTAGACCGAGAACAATTCTTAATTTTTTTTTAGTTTTCTTATTTACTTTTACTTCATTAAAAGTATAAGGTCAATGTGGCTATTTTCGCTCAGCTAAGCCCCTATTTTCGCTCAACTTTGAATTAATTTTACATGAGATCAAAACTTAATATCAGTATTTAAATAATATATTTATGTTAAACATGTTCAGCTCAATACGACCAACTAAAAAAAAAAATGTTGTGTTAAATTAGATCTTTAATATTAATTATTGAGCGAATATAGAGACATGCGCGAAAATACCCACATTGACCTTACCTTTAGATTAGAAAAATTGCAACTTTCGATTGAGTGGGTAAAATTGATCACGTGAAAGGTACAAATGTTCTTAAAATGTAATTTTTCGAAAAAAGTCAACATATCCAGCTTAAGAACAATAATTCGACAATCAATTCTTTAAATTTTGCATTAGATCGTTAGATATGGCAATCTTCAAATATAAAATAGCTATTTTCAGAGCTCGAGTGTTGTAACAAAAACGAATTATCGAAGTGTCCGATAACTAGAACTCAAAATTTCAGCTTTTGTCTAGTTATCGGGTACGCTATGTTCTATCAAACTTTATTTTTTACGTTTTACTTAATATCAAGCATCAAAAATTAACTCGAATGAAAACTTTCAATAAATGTCATTTTGTTTTTTTATCAAATCAACTAATTCAAAAAGTGTCATTAAAAATATATTTTAACTCTAATATCCAAAAGCCATTAAAAGGTCGATTGCTGGTACTTTTATTTTTAGTGCCCAATTCATCCTTTGCCATGTCATTCTCAGGCCAAAACAGAAGTAGATGTAGACCGATGAGCCCTTGTTTTTATTATTAGGGTAGTCGTAAAATAGTAGCTCAAAGTTCAACATGGAATATTCACATGCAAACAGTACCGCCAGCAGCCAGGCCGTCGAATAATTTTGTTTTCTTTGTGCGTTCTGTATTGAGACGCTGGGACCAGCATCGCTTTTAGTGCAACTATTGTGTATTACATGATAGCCTTTAATAATACATTATATCTGGAATAGCCAGCATGTAACGATGTGGGTGACTCTAGTTGTGCGAAGGGTCTTCTCTTCAGCTCAGCCGTTCGTTCGAGTGGTGCATAGGTAAGCTTGCTGTAAAAAAAAATGATTGAGAAATTTGCGCAACAACAGAAGACGATATTTACGGTGCTCGCGCACTTTGGATGCGACCGTCGCCCACCGCACACAATTGACCGTTGGTCGTGTACGTACACAGCACACATACTACATACCTGTGGGTTGGCGCGCGCGAGCCGCGACTTTACTTCAAATCGATAATCGCGTATAATAAAGTGACTCATACGTGCCATTTCATAACGTGTAAGTTATGCGCCGAGCCGCCGCTGCTACTACTGCTACTGCTTCGTTAGAAACAAAGAGCCTATATAACTTCCTTGCACGCCTGCTCGAAATTCGGAGCAAGCGGCTGCGAACGTCATGAGCGGCCATCCAGAATTGTTATCGTTCGTCGATTGTTTAAGGTGCTGAACAACTGCGAGCAATGTCAACCGTGCTAATCGAAAAATTCATCAACTATTGTATTATTATATAAAAATCCTAGTTAGTGGTGAACTTACTTTGCCCTTTTTTTTGTACTTCATCTACGATCAAAATGTACCCCCATAAATGATTCTTACAGACCCATTAGAATGAAGCCTGTAAAACTCTGAAAAGCCAAAGGATTTCGCGTGAGCCAGATTTTACCAAGTAAATAATAAGAAACGAGAAAAAAAGCGAAGCATGATATTTATAACGGAAGTCGGATTGGCTTATTTAGAAATTCGATATATTAGCATAAATCATCTCTGAAGCTGTGATCGAGTTCACGAATTATAATGATATGGAACGATCTTTGTGTATGAATACATCCATTAGTGCAAGTATACATATAGATATACATACACTTGGAGTATTGGATTTTTGTAACTGTAATTGCGTATACATATTTTGCCATCATACGAATACTGGCCGAGCACGACAACGGCAATGACTTATCATTCGGGAGCTCGGAAACTTACATTTTTTTCCATCTACTTCGACCCAAGCAAATTGTAATCCGCTCATCATCGTATAATTGCCGCGTTTGGAATCATATGTAATAATTACGGGGCCTACATATTTGTCAAAGCACCTCGTGGCCTAATCTTGTCCAACTATTAGCGGTATAATATATCGCGCGTAATCGCTTTAAAACATCGATCCAAGAATTTGTGAATTATCGAGCTGTATAGCCGCTTCGACGAGAAAATATAATGCATATAATGCTCGTCTTTGTGTACAAACGCCAGCCCAGTGGCTTTTTAATTTCCTTAAAAGGGTTGCACGAAGCCAAGCGATGCGAGTTTTATCCAACGTTTTGCTGCAAAAATTGCACAAGTCGTTCACTTCTCCTTTTCAAAGTCCGAGCGATATTTCTTACGCCGCGTTGAATGAAACGGCAAACATTTCGTACGACTGTCTAAATTAGATTTGGACGTCCCCGGCGGCGCCAGATAGTTAAATGTGCGTGTAATATAACGTATTCGACTCGGACTCATTTCGGCGCATTGGCCGTATTCGATAGGATGTAAACTTTTATCAGGAAGAAAAATCGCGAAAGAATGCCAGTACGACCGAGTCGAGGCTCAATGAAAAAATGGGCCAAATTACTTTATCGCGTCGAGCGGGCGTTACGCATGCGGGCCGATATGATCGCGCGACTCGAATTCATAGGGAGAATCCCGCGTGCATCAATCGGAATTGCCTTATGTCAATGGCATTGATCGTAGCTGCTCTTATTCTCAGAAAAATCGCTTATTTTTTTAATAATCGAGGGTATGATTCAGTGAATTCGCTGATCGACGCGCTTGCCCATCTGTACTATATCGGTGGCAGCTCGCGCACGCGAATGTCAAAAATACACGCAAACACAACACACATTAATTTCGGACGCCGTTCCGATACGCGCGGACACCCGATTCGCTGCTCTCGAATAAACTTTCCAATGCCGTGGCCGACACTTGAGATATTCATTTTATCGAATACGAAACTTTACTGTATTTTTGTGATTTTCAAACGAGTCGCCTTTTCCAAAAATAGGTCAACTTTACATAATTTTTAAGTAGGTTTATAGGCTCGCACGCACACCTATACGGAATGTAATGTACAAAAAAAAGTTTTCACTGTACAATGCCTACATACAAGTTTATGATCATAAACATTCGAACCCGGAAACGTTCATTGCCATCAATTACGTGCAAAAGATGGTAAGGTAGAATGACCTCGCAGAATTTCTACTCCAATATCTTGACAAAAATCCACGGATCATACCATCCAATTCCGCGAGCAGTGTACTTTTATACTATCCAAGTGTGTAAACAATGCACATACCTCAAAGTCTGCATGACACTTATTAACGAATCACGCGCGCCTGACGATGTGCGTGAGTTTACACACAACCTCCAGACGCGCAGCAGACACAATACGAGCTAAAGAGGCTGCGGTTGTTGACATTGCAAAATATATTGCTTGCAGAGGTTAGGCTTGACAGCACATCGATAAGAAGTTATGATTTTTTCATCCTGGACTCAAGCTGCATTTGTTTTTTATTTAATTACTATAACTGAACGCCAATCATTTAGATGAATGTGCAAAAATATTATTAACTTATCGCCCTAGAAATGCTTTATTGGTTCTGGATCAGAATGTTATTATTCTGCATCAATCAAATACTAAGTTTTTTAAGCCTATGATAAAACGATTAAACCATTCAACATGCATGACGATATGAATTTAAACAATTATATCAGTGGCATGTCATTGGGTAAGACCATGAATACTGCAAGTATTATATTGTTATGTATTTTATTATGTACTCTTAACTTATGAATTATCTTATATATACAGGTACCTCCAACGATAGTGCCTGTAGTATCCATGTTGCATTACATAAAGATACAAATACTTTTGTTGTTATAAAAAAGTACCTTATAGATAATCAAGACTCTGAAGACTATAATTTAATTCAGCAAGAAATCATTACCACTAGACAATTACAGCATCCTAATGTTCTTCCATATTTAAATGCCTTTATCTCTGGACCAAATGTTTATGTCTTATCTCCTTTAATGAGCTATGGCGCATGTAGCGAGATAATAAGTCAATATTTTAAAGAAGGATTACCAGAATTGACTATTGCCCATATTCTTAGAGATGTTTTATGTGGTCTTGAATATATACATAAGAAAGGATTTATTCTTAGGTATGAAAAGATCTTATTAATAAATATTTTTATCCCTAACATCAAAATTATTATAATTTTATAATGATTTTTTATCTTAGAGCATTGAAAGCAAGTCATATTCTAATTTCATCGGATGGTCAAGCTTGCATATGTGGCATGAAATATTCTTGTGAAGTATTTGGTAGTGGAAAGTGGCAAAAAACTGTTTATTCTTTTCCGGCTTCGACTAGAAAAAATTTGAAATGGCTAAGTCCTGAAGTACTGCAACAAGATTTACGTGGTTACAATGAAAAGTCTGATATTTACAGTCTTGGGATAACTATTTGTGAATTAGCAAATGGCATTGTACCATTTGCTCTTGAAACCGATATTCTTATGCTGACGGAAAAAGTAAAAGATTCTATACCAACTATCATTGATAATACTACATTTCCTTTTGATGTAATGGATCTTGAAGAGAGTAATAACTTTTAATTCCTAGTTTTTATGTATTATGCTAGATGAAATAATTAATGCTTAAAATTTATAAATTATTTTATACAAAATAGTGGAAGAGCAAACACAAGGTCAGGAAGTCCCAAGGAATTTCAGACAAATGGCCAATCGTACATTTTCAGGATCTTTTCATGAAATAACTGAGCGGTGTCTTCAATTAAATCCTAATGCCAGACCAGGAGCCAGTGCACTTTTGATGCATCCGTTCATAAAACAATGTAGAAGATCAGATCCCGTTGTTTTAAATACACTGAAATCTATAAAACCTCTTCATGAAAGTTTTGTAGAAACTTTGGGTAAGGAAATGTGAAATGCCTTTTTTTTGATAAAAGTTTTATATTTATCAATCTTTGTAGAAAATCAAGCCACAGATCTAGCAAATACCATGGGTAATATGGAGCTTGATGATTACCAATGGGACTTTGAGAATACGTAAAAAGCATGCAGTAATTAGTGATACATTATCTGGCTGAATTTCTTCTGTTTTCTTTTGAAAGAAGCAGTTCTACGCACATTCATTTAATTGTTAGATATTTTGGCCAAAATGATACATTTTGTGATGCTGTTACCTGATTTTTTCCTTGGAGTTATTTATCGATGTATTGTAAATTAATAAATTGTACATAAATGTGTAACTATCAACTAAGTAAAAAAATTATATTTGTTTATAAATGTTGTTTTCTTCCCAATTACACATTTTCAAAACTTCCGCCATCAATTACCTTCAATACAGCGACCAGCGCCATCGCATGATGGTGGCAAGCCGGCGCCCCAGTCAGTACCCCTGTAATCTCAAATTTTGATTATTTTCGTACGTCACTAGTAAACTTTCAAAAACAACAAGCATGAAAAGTTGACAAGATGTTTGGTTTCAATAAAAACTTGTTTATTTTTGTTGTTTTGGGAATTTTTACTGTAGCCATTGCTCAGAGTGACACTTTTGATGAAGAGTTAATGCTAAAACCTCTTCCAAATGGATTTTTGTACGCTTATTTCCAATTTACTACTCGATGGGAAGCCTCTAATAACCAGCAAACCTGTCAGTGCATTTCATCTATGTAAATTATTAAAATTTTCTAATCTTCTAAATTAACAAGTCTTTATTTATTTAAAGGGAAACACACCCACTTGTTTCCTAGAGGACTAGCAGAAATTATTGGTAGACATCATGTAGATGAAATGCAAATTTCTTTAACTGAAGGTTTATGGAACTATAAAAAATATGGATATCCATTTCATAATGCTGGGCCTGGTGCAGAAGTCACTACATGGTTCAATAAAGAAGTGTCTGAGTAAGTACTTTAAAAGTTAATATCACTTAAAAATAAAATTTACTTTATTATTATTGTTTTAGTGTCGATAAAGAATGGAAAGGGTTAACTAATGCCCTTTCAGGATTGCTATGTGCTTCGCTAAACTTTGTCAATCCATCAAACAGTTTTTCTCCTCAGTTCAGTTTTAGACGATCTGGTGCTATGGAAAAGGAATCTAGAAATTCTAGTCATTTACGATATTCATCTCTTCCCAGAGAAACTGCATGCACAGAAAATTTAACTCCATTTAAAAAATTACTGCCTTGTGATTCTAGAGTACGAATCTTTATCACATCAATATTGACATTAAATTCTTTTCAATATTTTTAATTACTTTATAATTATTGCAGAAAGGGCTTGCTGTTCTATTGAATTCAGCGTTTATTCATAATACAAACTACCATTCAATAGGTATTTACTTTCGTTCTATTTGTAGCAATGCTGAATGCACACAACGGTCGGTTGAGCTAAAGCAAACAGTGTCTTTAGTTTATGACACGGTTACTTTTGATACAAAGGTACAATTTTCATTCAAGGACTTAAAAACCAAAAGATTTAAAAAAAATCTATTTTCTATATATACTTTTAGGATTGGTCTATTAGGAAATTATTTGGTATAGGAATAAAGGGTGCCTGTCCCCTTGCAAATATAAGCAATATTTATGTAGATACTACAAGTAATAAGACTTACCATACATTCAAAATCACACCAGATCCGGATTCAAATATTTTGAGTCTGAGAGGTGGTCAAGAAAATAAGTATGCTTTGTACAATATAAAATTGCATAACACAGGAAAACCCTTCAGTATAGCAACTGTACATGAACAACAAAAATCACTTAGTGTTATTCAACCATCTATTTTATATGCAAACAGATACATTACTGGTAAGTAAAAAAAAGATAAACATAATTTTTTAAAACAAAAATATTGATGTAAACTGTTTATTTCAAGGATACGGTCAAGAAAAAGGATCATTGGTGACTAAAATTTACAATGATCACTGGAAGCCATTAACCATAATTCTCTTAGAAAATGTTCCATGGTATTTACCTCTTTACTTACATTCCATGAAGATTGTTTGCAATGGCAAAGAATTGCAGCCATGTAAGAATCAAATTGAACCTCTTTAACTATTGAACAACATACAAGATATTTTTTATTACTCTTAGTGGCTCAACGTTACATTCCTGGCAAGGAACGTCAGCAACCGTACTACCTGGAGCTTGTGCTAACTTTGCCTCCTCGATCCATGACGAAATTCTCCATAGACTTTGATTATACGTTTTTGAAGTGGCAAGAATATCCACCAGATGCCAATCATGGTTTTTATATGGGCCCAGCAGTTATTAGCGCGATGTTACCGATTGCTAGAAATTACACTGCTTTGCCGCAAGACGGGAGCACCATTACTTCTATGTAATTCTCAATTCAACTTACTTATTTATATAGTTTAAAGAATTATATCTTCATTGCAGTTTTTCTTTGCAATTTCAGTTTCAACGCTACCCGGCCCGGATACCTGGTGCAGTTACGCACAGAACCATTGCTGATAAGTCTACCAACGCCAGATTTCAGCATGCCGTACAACGTCATATGCTTGGCCTGTACCGCGGTTGCTTTAGCGTTTGGTCCATTGCACAATATTTCGACCAAACGACTCGTGTTGAAACGCGTTGATAAACAAAGTTACCTACAGACTGCCAAATCAAAGTTGCGATCGCTATTCGGTTCCAAAGAGAAAAAAGAATAGTTTACTCGTTCATATATCAATTTTTATGTTTATTTTTCATGAGGTTGTATTGTCAGTTTTTTCATATTGTACCCATGATCATTTCAAAGAACTAGGGTAATGTGAAAAATGAAAGAAACTCGATATCATTTATTCCTTAAATATGTGATCTCGATAACTCGACAAATGATGAAACTCGATTCATTTGTGGAATAATAATATTCTAAAAACGCTTAAATTACTTTTATCGAGTCAATACTATTGTGAGTATTAATTTTTACAGCTATGTATAAATATAAATATTATTTAAAATGAGATTTCTGTCTTAAAATAAATGGTGCGTATGTTTGTGAATAAACGCATAGCGAGCTTTTACAAAATATAAAAGTTATTCAAAGTTTCGAATAGTTTCTGATTGATCATCTCAGCACTATCACCAAACCAGACACTTATCAACTGGATTCATGGGCATACCGCTTTTACAAGAGTAAACCTGGGCGAATTCCCGGGAGTTGGACAAAGTGCCGATGACGCGATAACGGCCGGGCGCGTGTACCGCCGTCTTGAGCTTGTTGCGCATCGCCTCGGGCCGTATCGTGCCGCACCAGACTTGGGCGAAATTCAGGAAAAATAATTGCCGGCCCGTGAGCCACTCCAAACCAGGCAAGCGCTCTCGGCTCGATTGTCCTTGGTTCTCCGTCAGCCACTTGTCGTAGGCCTGCGAAAAAAGTCGCGCAAAGTTTGAGCATATAGTTTTGAGGCCGATCTTTGCTCATCGTTAACACGACCATTTTACTTACTTTAAACGCTTGCTTTATCCCACCATTGTCAGCTATGTTTTCACCTTGAGTATTGACGCCGTCGAGTGCCATGTCGACTTCTTCGACTATATATTTACTGTACTGATCTATGCATAAAAAAAAGGAATCATCACATTGATCATTGTACAGTTTGACTATTTTTAGTTATGATTAGAAATCAGATGTTAAACGTATGAAGTAATTGATCGAAAAACAGCCCTTCCTTAGTGATTTCACCTTTAAGGTACGAGAGATCCAAGAAGCATTAGTTGGAATAAAAATCAATAGTTAAATTCTTTCTTTATATAAATGATTATAGAGAAGAGAAAAAAGAGAAATAGACAAGAGCGTATACACGTGCAATATACGAACCAACGAGACAGTAGGCGCGCCGATCAAACTCGGTAACGGAGCTCTCGGACCACCAGCGCAGAAGATTGCCGTCCTTGTCGAAGAGCCGGCCCTTGTCGTCGAAGCCGTGAGTGATCTCGTGGCCGATGACCACACCTATGCCACCGTAATTGAGGCTTCGCGGAAAGTAGCGATGATAGAACGGCGGCTGCAGAATACCGGCCGGGAACACTGCAAGATGTAGTACATATCTCAATAACGATATCGATCAAGGAAATTCGAGCTGGATTGTTTCGCTGTAATTTACTGATTTGATTTTTGTTGCGACTGTAATAGGCGTTGACGATGGCCGGGGCCGCGTTCCACACGCTCTTGTTGACCGGCGCTCCGAGTTTGTCCTGCTCGATCCTCGTCAAGTGCCTCAAGACGTTGAGCGTGTTCTCGAAGTACTTGTCCGGTTCGATGAGCACCTGTCGATCAGTCTCGCGATCACAAACGACAGCTCAAAATCGAAAGGGATGTCGTGAAAAATCTTACGTCTCTGTAGCGCCTGTCGAGCTGCTCGGGCTCGAGTATGAAGTCCGGATAGCCGATGCGCAGCTGCATGGCCTGGAGCTTGTCGAGGGCGTCGCGCCTCGTGGCGTCGTCCAACCAGCTGGATCGGCGCAGCAGCTCGCGGAAGGATCGCTGAATCTCGTGGGTCATCGACAGGGTCTGCGCAAAAGACATAGCCACTCGATAATTTATTTTCTCGCCCACAAAACAGAGGCATTAATTGAGAAAGGATACGTGCGTCGTTCTTGCTCATCTCGTCAAAGTACTTGCGCACGAAGAGCGAGCCGAGGGCGTTGCCCATGTTGCTGTTGACCTGGCCGACGCAATTCTTCCAGCGTGGTGGAGACTTTTCCCGTCCGAACAGGGTGTAGTAGAAGGTCTGCTTGGCCTCGAGGAAACGATCGTCCAGATTGTTGACTCGATGGCGCACGAAGCGCCAGAACAGGTAGTTCGCCACGACTCTGGGACGCGCACGAGAAGCAACAACACGAGGCTCATCTCGATCACAGTTTTACGCAGAGTATCGTGTATCACGGGGACATACCTCGATCGGGTTCGGGACAGGAGCTTGACGAGGTCCTTGAGGTAGTTGGTGGCGAACACGACGACGGGCTCGGAGTCGCCGACCGGCCGGCCGAGCACGATCGACAGGTACCGGCGCCAATCGATCTCCGGCACGGTTCGGCGCAGCTCGTCGAGGCTCATGCGCCGGTACAGATCCGAGATGTTCCTGCGCTCGTCCGGGGATATGGTTATCTGCAAAAGGTATGCATGCAAAAGGTGCGTTTGCAGGACGGATGCGAGTGAGGGGCTCACGTTGGCCAGCTGAATCTCGAACTGGACGAGCTCCTCGGCGTGGCTGGCGGCGGTCCTGGGCGAGGCCCCCAGCAGCGTCACCACCGTCAGCAGGTAGGTCTTGTAGGCCTGCAGGTAGCGCGCGTTCGACGCCTGCAGGTAGTAGTCCTTGCTGGGCAGGCCGAGGCTCGTCTGGTCGAGCTGTATGACGTACTGGTCGCTGTTCTTGATGTCCGGCCCGATCCACTCGGAGATGAGGACGTCGTTGTTGTAGAGGCGCAGCCGGGCGACCAGCAGCAGCCAGTCGAACTTGTCGGGCTCCCACTCGGGTCTGAGCATCGGCCAGCCGCCCAGCTCGTCCAGCAGCAGCAGCAGCGGTCGCTCCATGCGCCGCTCCAGCACCTCTGCGATTTACATTTTTTATTTCCATCTGCGAAATCTAACGAAATGATCTCTCCGTACCGTAGTTCATGCAGCTGCGATAGAAATACTTGGCTTTGGTGACTGCGCTGGTGAGGAGGGCCGCGTCGTTGTTGTCGGCCTCGGGCTCCTCGAGCAGTTGCTTCAGCACCAGATCCAGCGACTCGCGAAGCGTCTCGAACGTGTCGAAGCCGGCCTTGTCCTCGGGAATGGGATTGTACTTTTCCCAATTGCCACAGGCGTACTGGTAAAAGTCCACGCAGGGGTCGACGCTCCGGTCCATATATTTCAGCATCATTTTCGCTTGGAAACGAAACGTTATGAATTAGAATAGTCGATCGATCATCGACGCTCACTGATTCGACCTATTGGAAATGTCGTACAATACCTTGTACGCCGCGAATGTATTCCTCGTTCCAAGCGCTTTTCCAGAAAGCTCGAAAATCCATTGGCCCTTCGTGCAGCTGAAACAAGAGAAACGCGTGAAAATCATCGAACATTGAGACATGCTTCCGCATCACCTTGGCGCTCCGCTCGGGCCAAATTTTGGCCTCGTTCTCCTCCTCTTCTCCATTGCTGCTGTCTTCACTGGCGCTGCTGTCCGACGAAGATTCGCCCTCGTCTTCGAGACAGTCCTCGTTCGTTGCATTGGCTTCGTCTTCGTCGTCGTCGTCGTCGTCGTCGTCGTCGTGATCGTCGCAAGCTCGGGACTGAGGCTGGGCAACGGATTCCGAGGCCGATGACTCGTCTCGGCTCTCTTGGCGTTTAGCTCGAGTCTGCAAACTATCGTTCGATATAACAGCTTACACGGCCTAGTGCAGCTGTTTTCTTCGAAAGCTATGATTTTTTCATAACTGGGATGTGCTTTTACTAAAGATATATGTACCATTAAAACCGCCCTCTTTACAACGAGTTCCCGAGACCTAGTTTTACATTTCGTTGTAAAAATATATTAGATTTTGGTCGTTTATTTGGCAAAATGTCATTCATCAACGAAAAACCGGAAAAGCGTGAAAAAAAATGTTAAAAGCGTCACGCGCAGTAATGTAACGCGCCACTCAACCTACATGACAAGGCCTATGCGGTGTATAAGGCACAGGTTTACGCACTGCACGCGCACATACAAAAGCGGCCTTTCGGCATCGGTCGCTGGCTGCTTTTCTCCGGGGGCGAGCGCAAGCTCTTTTTCCAGCGGCTCACGAGAGCGAGAGAGAGAGAAAGAACGCGTGTAGTCAGCGACGTACGTGCGGCCTTTTCTTTTCTTTTCTTTTTTTTTTTCTATTGACGATTCGCTAGCATTTCCACGCCGTGCTCGACGAGCGATGTATATTGCAAGTTGAAAGACGCGCGAACCGCATCTGCCTGTACATATAGGCCTAGAAATGCGGCAAACGCTCGCGTGTTCTATCTCACATTCTTTTTTTGTCTTTATTCTAGCGTAAGAAATTTACTTGCAGTTCCCGTGCAGCAACAGCAGTAGGCAGCGAGCTTTTCAAAGTCCCCGGCGCTGATGAAGGCCGACTAGAAGCTATTATGATGTTCTTTTGCTGCCCCCGCTGCGGCTGATGATGCTGCTGCTTCTGTCTCCGTTCATTCGGCGAAGCACTAGACTCCGCGTCGCTGATACTTTGTGGCTCTTGGCTTTCTTCTCCCGTGCCCTACACACATACATTTGTAGCAAAAAAAAAAAAAAATAAATAAACCCGGGCACGAGTCCCATACGTGTGCCATACATTCGACAGCCGACGTTCTTTGTATTCAATGGATGTATGCATGAATTTATGCGTCGTTGGGATAAATGAGGGGGAAAAAAACGTGGAAGTATGTTTTGTCGGATTTGGTGGTTCAGCTAAATGTGCGCAGCTCAGTTATACAGACCTCGTTCGCGTGCCTTTTGTGGCGCTCCAACGAGGCGCTCGCCGGCAAAAAGCTCGTCACCGCGTGTGGATGCAGAGCGGACAATCTGCGATGCGCCAGCTCGGCAGCTTCCTCAATGTCATCTGCGCACTCGAGCATTACATTATTCTCTAGCTCTGTAGGCCAGAAAATAGAGAGCACTCGTGACAACTCACGGATCAAGTGATGCTGCAGCGACGAGGACGGCCGTGGCTCGTCGAGCGACGCGTTCACTTCGTTACTCGGCTGGATTTTCGTCGGGCTGCCGCCGCCGCCGCCTCGAGTCGTCAGTTTGCCGATTACCTGAGACTTTGACAAGGCTATGATGATTATGGCCACGGGCAGTATGACGGCCGGTATCAGCATCAGCAGTCGTATTCGCGTCCGGCACATGTCGCTCCCGCCCATGCACCATCTGCAATGCACGCGTTATAATATATCATTGAGAGATCGCGACGAGTCTTTTATGAATCCTTTCAATTGGCATCGATGATCGAGAAGATATCCCTTTGGTCGATCGGCTTGCAAACTTATTTGCACCCTACTTATTACTCGCGAGAAATTCCTGACAATATCAATTGATGTCTCGAAGCGCAAAAACGACGTCCCTTCGTGTTTATTCCGAAGCTCGGATATAATATAAAGTGGCTGCGAGGCAGCAACTCGACTTTTGAATTAATCTCCCGATGTAAATCGAGTGCGGCTCTATATCGTTGTGAAAGTTCAAGTATCCATGTCAAATTTATTTTTCTCTTCAATTCAGCAAATTATTACGAACGATCGGAGCTGCGTCGACGACTCCCGTTGACTCGATCGCTGTAACACAGTTCGCGAACTCTTTGCGCTCCGCAGCTTTAATTAAAAAGCGATAAATGTGTATACAGCCAGAGGGGGGACAAATGAATAAGCAACGACCGATGCTTACCTCGTCTAATGTTTCTTCGTTTCAATAGTTTTGAATGCTCGTCGTAATATAGATTGAGAATAAAAAAAAAAGAATCTCGAGAGGGAGAGACGAGCCGTGTAAAGGGGAAATATTATAAAATCAAGGACGTACTTGAGCCTTCCGGTATCCTTGTTGATGGCCAATCGACAAGACGGACAGATGCCTTCGACCTCGATGTCATCGCTCAGCTGGCTCGTCGTATCCGCCGCACGCATCGACTGTTGATGACTTAGGCGCATTCTCGCTCTCGTTAACAAACTTGCAAAATATCTCTCTTTCTTTTTCTCTTCTTTGCCTTTTTCGCACAAAACAAAAAAAAAATAGATTAAGATACGAACGGAAGAGGCATCGACGATCGTTGACTTTGCGTACTTCCTTTGAAAACACGCTGCAATCAGCCGATGTTCGATGTTAAATGCAAGGCCAAGGAAAATAAAAGAGAAAAATATATCGCGTGCAATTATCAATTAAAGAAAAGTTTCTCATCCGAGCGTTTGGTTGTACTACGAGCGAAACGAAAGATTGATAAATTAGACTGAACGCGGGAAATTCGACGAACGTCGGCGAAACAAGCCAAATTATTGAAAATTATGCAACTATTAGTGGTGTAAAATTGCAGTAAGTATTCCAGTCGGTCAGGCACGAGCGCGCACAGGTGATAAAACGCTAAGCTTGTTTTTTCTTCAGTCTTCAAGAGACAAAAGCAATACTTGAAGATATTATCCGAAGATATGTAATGAATAAAAATCAGAGGAATTGAGCGAGTAAAGGGAGAAGAGGGAAGAAGAAGCCCCAAGTAGGGGTTGCGAATGTCAAAAGACGCCAGAAGGGCAGGCCCGGGTGACGATTCGCGGGCACGCACAGACTCGAGGATGCGCACACGCACGCACAGACACACGCGGGTAGGGAGAGGCGGCGGCACACGCGCACAATCGGCCGATTTCGTTAAGGTCCGAGCGATCGCCAAAGTCCGCAAAGACGTCGAGAGACGGAGAACTAGGCCAGTGCGAATGTCAATCTGGACTCACGGCGCGGCGGTAAACGGGCGCGCGCTTGAGCTTGAGCTTTGACAGTAGCTCGCACGCACACAAAGTGCCGATAGGTCGACATCGAGAGTGGGGTCCGCCGCTGCACGACGATGACGATGATCGGAGCAGATCGGAGCAATTAATCAATTGCCGAGCGAGCTGTACCAGCGAATATACCAACGATTTGTAAAGAAAGAGAGAGAGAGAGAGATCAAGGCTGGCTTTGCGTCGTGCACACAGGTACCTACACATTCGTGCAGCGGCGAACCGATTTCGTCGTCTGCCATTCGGTCAAGGTTCAAACGATCGTCGCGTCGTTCCGAGCGATAATGTAATTTCGGATATATGCACGAGCCGAGATTTATTTATACGTCGATCGTCACGTTGCGACGTGTCGCCGCGTTATAATATACAACACGGAGAGCTCTGCAGCTGCGAAGGATCTGGCAAAACTGCACGAACTGATACACGTATAGCCGAAGAAGCAAGTGGATCGTCGACACCTCGCCTGCACCGCACTCGAACGTATATAACTCGATATACACCGAGCACATATCGCATTCGATATATACATATTGGCCTTAATTAGCTATGATTATCGTTTCGAATGTCTTTACTAGCTGGCATTATCACGCGATATATTACTGCGACGCGACGGCTCTGTATTATGCAGCTGCGTCGAGCATCTTTCGCCGTCGAGGGATCATTGCGAAGCTCGATCGTCGTTCGTCATCGTCGCGATTTATTACAGTTAGGCGCGAGTCGAAGGATCAGCAAGGACTCACGGACAAATGTGCCGACTCTCTTTAGCTCGTTGAGGCTTCGTCGATCGCGAGCCTCGGCGACGTCCATGTAGCGCAAATTCGAGCAGTCGTACTCGAGTGGCATGTAGCCGACGTAATTCAACCGCTCGCTATTATCCTCCTCTCTCATTGTGCAGCCGAAATTCACTGGCCGCCTATTGTTGTGCCATTCAATGCTGCTGCTGATGCTGCTGATGCTCGCGTCGATCGCTCGACTGACCCGTCGAGGTTATAGCCGATCACAATGTGTGCGGCGCGGCACCGATTTTTAAACGCGTCCACTTGAACCGTTCGTGCACTGGACAGCTTTTTGCGGGCCGTGACTCGTACGGCAATCGAGCACAGAGCCGCGAAGCTGCGCGTCTTTTTACGTAATGCTCAGCTAGTCCAGAGCTGCCTTTTTGTCGCATCGATTAGAGTTGAGCGACTTTTTCATCCATGTGCAAAACTTAACCTGCTCACCTTGCTCGCTTTCCTATACAACTTTTCCGAGCGATTGAAAACTATGGCTTTGAATTATTATTTTCAACGAGCTCACATTTGCCCCACTATAGAAACTGTAAAAGTAGAGCCACTTCAACATTGCTTCATTCATATTCTCGAATAAACAGTACATTTCCAATTAGGATGAGGAAAAATAAATCTTCACCACGTATATTGTTTACTGATATATTATATTTTATAATACATCAGATTTATTGATCTCACTAGAATATAAAATCGTTGGCAACAATAAAAATTGCCTCCGACCAAAAAAATTCGTACAATTTGTTTTCCTTCTTACATACATTTGATAATTATTCCGCTGTACATATTGAAATGTGAAGTCTATTACTCTTTATTAAATCAGACTTGTGCGATTTTTTTGAGAATACATATTACTGTACGCGCAATCGGGACTTTCACTTTTTTGGCACAGACTTTTATGTTTATTTGTTTGTGAGTATTGAAATTTTGATCGCATTTCAACTTTACTTAACATGATTCTTACGAACTACTATGTATATGTTTGTATAATATCTTAATCATCTTGAATTTTCATCCCTGTTAAGTAGAAAAAAAAACATTCTCACAATTGTATATTTTAATTACAAAAAAATGACATTTTGATAAAAAATGCATTCGATTTAATTATTTTTACTTTTTTGTTTTCATATCAAAAGTTGGGTACGAATACCTTTGTACATATCTGTGCAGTCCTCGCAATGACGATTGTCACACTTGCACGATTAAAAAATTGGGTTCATATAATAAGCACATTCCGCATCGAAGAGTCTCGCGTGCATACGAGGGATTATTCCAAAATTATGATACATCGTATCAGAATGCCACCATTTTATAAGCAATAGACGTATCGATATTAATTTTTATTCTCTCAGATTTAGTACAAATTTCAACGTTATGACTGTATTATACACATATATAATAGAATCGTAACTCAAAATTATGCCATCTTGAATTACTTCTCGATGAAGCAATGTACGATGAATCATAGTTTCGGGATAGACCCAGATTTTTAAGGCTCCTACTCGTAAAATTTTTTGTTCCTCGAACATTATAATACAATAATTGTTACGCAATAACGCGTGCATATACTTAAATGTGTTAACTCCTGAAGAAATGCATACATATTATATTGTAAATTACCCTCTTTATTAATTTCAGCCTGTATTATATCAAGGGGATCACGTGTTATTTATCACTATAACTGTCGTCGCTATTTAAAAAAATTCATTGTTATACATTGACATGGTCATCGTATTGATTTTCAATTTGCCGCAGACTTTACATCACTGCAAATTCTCCCCCCCACAAAAATGTTTTTTTCTGTATTATAATAAATCGTTGCATTCGTATTTATAATGCACATTTACCGCGTACCTACGATCAATAAATCCCTCGCAGTTTTTTCCACGAGTTTGATCGTTTGCGCGTCCAAAACTTTAAAATCGCATCTTTCAGAAGCCCGTGTATATGAATAAAAAATTTCCATCGCACTCGGACACGAGGGCGACAAATTGTCGTAGAAAAAATCGTGAATTGCCATGAGGGTTGGAAGATGGATCGATGTGGTGCATCGACATACTTTGTGCTTCGCCGCTTTTCGCAGTGCGTCGGCCTGTCAACTCGTCGCTGCTTTACTTGTGCAAGAAGTGATACTCCAGTATATCCTCTTCGTCTGTCATAACGAGGGAAAAGATAAAAATCATATTCGTTAGATTTTCAGTAAGTCTTATAGAGCTCGTTTATAATCTGTGAACACGATACAAATAGCTTTGAAGAACGAAATGTGTATACGAGTTCCGCTCGTGAAGCTTTGAAATCGTTTTGTTTTCATTTTGAATCGACGCAAAAGCTGCCGAGCGCGACACAGATAAACTTTTGACAAAATGTTGCAGGGCACTTTACACAGATAAAAAGATAACTCACAGAAAACATAAACAAGCGCGCGCGGTAGAAATTGTAATCTTAGTAGAATATATTCGCGCTTGAAGCTTAAAGGAAGAAATTTTTTGCGCGAGAAATTAATTGAAAAAATTGAAGTACGCACAAAAAAGTTGAAAAAAAAACACAGAGGAAGCATGAACGTTGAACACAAAAACACAGCAAAGCTTTGAACACAGAAAAAGAAAAAACAAATATAACATTTGGCGTGCCCGTATGACACTTTGTGTAGTCCATATGAAACTAGTTTGCTTTTTAAAATATTGTAAAAACTTTTTAAATCAAATTTTATTTTTTACCAAATGATGGCAAAAGTAAAATTCATTTTACAGTATAACTCGAAAAAAATGTTGGCAATAAGAAAAAAATGAGTTCTGTTCGTTTGAAGTACTTGCCACTTGAACCGGGAATGCTTTTTACAACGCCCTACGTACTTTTATTAGCATTTAAACTTTAAATCTCGATGAATTGATGTACGTGTTCATTGAAATTGAAAAAAAGGGAAGAAAAAAGATAAAGAAAAAAAAACAGCCTGATTTTGCCTCAAGCATGGATGGCGAGCATGCAAACGCCATAAAGTGTGCGAAATGTGCATGAAAAATATGAAGCCTCAAGAGTTTTGCGTGGAGAAGAGGAAAAAAAAGAATCAGGGCACACACAGACGCATGAATTAAGAAGTAGTAGCGAGCAAAAACAAAAGCTCTCAAAGCACATGCAAGTTTTTTTTGCACGCCCACAAGCGACACAACAGACGATATAGTGCATACACATAATGCCTATAGACGGACGCACGTGGAACGACAATCCGTAAATAGTACTGCGTACCTTCTCTGCTGTTGTCCAGGTCACTGGTTTGCGTTTGAGTGTCCTCCGAGGCACGTTTGCCTACTACCATGTGTAACGGGTCGTTGATGTGTCCAAGTGGTGGAATTTTTTATTTTTAATGGTCGTGCGCAGGGATGCATAAGAAAAATCGAAATCATGGATTATAAGTTAGAGGAGGTCGAGGATCGGGGTGCTGATTTTTTTTCAATTAATTATTGATATTTTTTATAGTGTGATCTAGAGATATTTTGAATATTAGCAACACTGACTCCGCATTTTTAATAGCTTCCTAGCGATCAAAATGATGATGATGAAAATTATTTGTTTCTTGTACAGCTAGAGCAGTGCTTATAATATTTAAATGCTCAGAAGTAAAATGAAAAAATGGTTGTCGTGGATGTCAATCAGAAAATGTGGAATGAAAATTGATTCGATTAAAAAGGAGTGATTTTTGGAGCCTAGCGTCGTTCGTGAATTTTCATTTTCGCTATATGCACCGTAATAACAATCGAGATCTCGCGCTAGAATTATTCTTTAGGATGACTATAATGATGATTACTCGTTGGCTGTTGTTTCGCTTTTTATATATTAAGGCCACGAGGTCTTCATCACATTGTAAGCTCTAATGGAAATGAGTTTTTTCTTTGTTTGCCTCTCGTGTGCTTGCGAGGTGAATTTTAATGCGAGTCAAGTACTTCGGAGAAAACAATTGAGACATTATAACGAACGAAACTGGAAAATCACGAACGAAACTTTGCCTCGACGAATGTATGTATAAATGCGATAAAAATGATGATTATATTTACAATGAAAATATCGTAATTTTTAAAGACTCTTGAAAACATTTCAAGCCTGCGAAATTCATCATCATTTGAAAAAATATATAAATATGTATGTGGCGTATTGATGCAGCGGCGAAGACGTTTTTTTTATATCTTAATGCATAACCAATTACTAAACGAGTGCATTTGTTGCATTCAATGCTCCGTCGTATGGAGATTTTGGCGTTAATGACATTTTGTGGCAAAATCAATCGTACAAGCATGATGACCATATTATTCATTGCCCTCAGATTTTACTTCAACTTTTTACTTGACAAAAGCCAACAAAATTTTTGTAATATAATTCAAGTGCGTTTTAAAATCAAAAACTCGCAAAGTTAACACTCTTGCGGATTTTTCAGTGAAAAAATGAAGATGCCAAATAAAAGACTCATTCACTTATTTAATAATATTGCATACAATCAAGCTACAACACCGAGAACATGTATACCTGCATTCACTAATATATTATCTAAATTTAAAGCCGACGTAGAAACAAGTTGAAAGCTTGAAATATGGAAACTATGGCATCCTAAAAATTTTAATAGCGATTTTTTTAACCTGTTTGTTTTAAATTAAATTAAACAATAACAGCGATACTTTCGATTTAACGATAATAGTCTACTTAAATAATGATTATATTCGACAGATTAAATAGTGTTTAAATAAATGGAACAATGAAATCTTAATCTAAATGATTAACGCGTCTCGCTATTTTAACTTTAATTCGGGAGATTTTTTGTCAAATACTTTTGAATTCGCAAATTAAATAACGCGGAAGACGTATACATATCTTGCATCAAAATCATAGGAAATCAATGAAATGTACGATAAATTATAAAAAATATTTTAGATAGGCGAGTAAAATTAAATTCCAATACTGTGTATATAAAAAAATTTTGACTTGCCATTTTTAATCTGTCGAAAAAAAATTACAAATGGCACATTCAAACATATTGATCGTTGATTATCATAGTAATACTAAGAATATCTTTTAATAGTAACTTGATATTTACAATTGTACGTTTTTCGTTTTAAAATGTATTGCGATATCGATAAACTATTTTCTTCAACAATTTTGAGTATATCTATATATTAATCATTTAACATGTTAGTCGTTAGTCACGGGATAAAAAAGATATTTCGGTGCGTATCTTTCGTGCGTATGCTTTTTTATCTTTGCTTGCTTCGAGTTTTAAAATAAAAGATTCGACAATCTATATAGCCAATCATGTATATATAATGCGTATACAATATATATTTATGTTAAATTTTTTTCTATACAAATACCACCGCCTTTTTTTTCTGCTTTCTGATTGATTTGTTCTCGATACTTCATTGATATGTAGGACTTTCGTCCCTTAACCACGACCGTGATTTGTTACTTTCGGTCATTTTTATTTATTTTTTTATTATTTAAATAAATAGTTGTCCCATCATTGTCAAAGTATACCCTAAAAAAAAGAACAATGTAACGAAAAAAATTAATGTTTGTAATGATTTTTAATTCGCTACAATAAAAAATTTAGGGCATCAAGGATGAAGGTGGCACTTATTCTTATGTACATTCAGACAATTCATACTCAAATAGAATAAATACCCGACAGAGGTACATGCATTTCCCTCGAGTATTGTATTACTTGACATAATATATTACGATATACATAATAGAATTATCATCATTAAAAATTGATAGGTACCAAAAAATGTGTTTACTAACATTAAGCAGGCGTATAAAAATACAGTAATAACATCACCGGATGAAGAGTATTATTTGAAACATGAGATAATCTACGATATGCAATATTATATTTTTGAATTCAAGAGGTCATACGCTTCTGGCTCTTCGGTATCAATTTTGAAAATATATTCAACTCAATCCTTAAAGGATGCAGGGATTTACGTTTTATGGAAAAAATACTCAATCGCTCTAAAATACTCTAATAGTTATATTTTTATGCAATGAAGTATTACAATCTAGATTAAATTTATTACAATAATTTCATTTATCACGAAATTGATCGTGGTTTATGAACTAAAATAAGGATAGATGTATGTACAATTATTTGTTCAAAAAATTTCGTAAAATAATTACAAACAAAGAAGCACCGAGTAGAAAATTTTACAAACAAACGTGAAGATTTGTTCCAAAATATATTTTTACATATAATTAAATCATGTTTTGAAAATTCAATCGAAAATTCTTTCATGAGATGGATTCATAAGATTATAATTTTATTAAACGTTAAATTAATGCCAATAAATAACTCTCTAAATCGAAATTTCATAAAATTATGTACACTTGTCTACGATTCGTACGCCTTATGTTCCATAAAAAGTGTATGTAACAAAAAGATATAATTTTTAATATAAATGTTATAACTTTTGAAAATACCATTAAAAAATCAGCACTTCCGAGCCAATCAAACGCCCTCTTTACGAGGCATGCATTAACAATAAATAAATAAAATCTATAGCACTAAATGTACAGTAGGATGATTTTTGAAAATATTTCTGGACTCGTTTAATACAATGCACAGAAGCTACTGTTTCACTTATACAAAGATAAATTATTCATATAATTAAAAACTGTACAGGTGAAAGATGAAAATGAAAATGGATAAGGGGCGAGAAGTGCGGTCATAAATGAGCCCCGTAGACTACGCCAGACTTAAATGAAAAAAAAAGATAGAAAATGAATAACTACAATATGATATGTTCCTCTACAGTTTCAAGTACAACACAAGACGAGTTTTTCCGTTTCAATCAGTAAATACAGATGGGAAGATGTATGCTTTGACATTTTTGCGTTTTTTAACGAGTATTTTATACGAGTGGAAATATTTTTATTTGAATTAGATGGGACAATAAAATGTATTCGTCTCAAATAGAAGAAAATAGAAAAAAAGTTCGAGAAAGCATTAAATAGTGTCGGTTCAGTGCACGAATGAGTTGAAAATAGCGATTTTATTTATTTTGAAAAGCAGTCGAATTAGGTACACGAGAGAGAAGAAGAGGGAGAGGAAGAAGAAGGAGAGAGAAATGAAACGTAATCACGTGCACTACGCATCATTCCCAATCAGCACTTGCAACTGATTTTTTAAACGACTGTGACGATCGATCGGCAACGATCGGGCTCGCTGAGAAGGATGCCTCAGCCTCGTGCTCGGTCAACGTCAGATCGTCGGCCAAGTCGTCGTCACAGAAAAACTTGGTCTTGTGCAGTCTCACGGGTAGTCTCGCCGCTAGGCGTCGAACAAAACAATGAAAACAACAGCAGGCAACGTAATAACTACTATTACATGACATCGACAAAAAATTCACAAGGATTGCCCATCGCAATGCGAAATGACTGTCTACTACCAGATAGCTCTTGCTGGTTCTGCTGCTGCTGCTGTCCCTGGTTCTGAAGCTGCTGCTGCTGCTGCTGAAGGGGCTGCTGAGGCTGCGGCTGCTGTGGATGCAGGGCTATCTGCGTCTGATTGGTATTGCCGGAGCCGGTGCCCGTACGGACCGACTGCTCGGAACCGCTGCTACGGCTACGGCTGCCGCTGGATCGCTTGCCGTTGCTACCGCCGCTGCCGCCGGTCGTTGTGAGGGTCGTCGCCGTGCTCTTGGCTATCGTCGGCATGGCCGGTACCATCGGCAGCTGCAGTTCTGTTTCAGAACAGAGAGACTTAAGAGAGTGCGATAGGCAGCCCTCGGTAGTAGAAGGAGGACTAATGGTGGTAGTAGTGGTAGTGTCAGTGCTCGTGGCTGTTAGGACGGACATGAGAAGCCGTTGATGCTTCGAGCGCTCGCTAGCATGATCGTCGCACGCGCCGCTGCTACCTCCTACAAACATCACACGACGCGCCAAAAGAACGCGATCGTGGCTTTACTCTTTTGCACACTTACTGACCTTATGTCTTTGTCGTTTTTTCTTGCTATTGTTTTTTTTTTTTTTTTTTTTTTTTTTTGTTAAGCGGCAAAAAACGACGCAAAGTTTGGTGCAAACCGTTACCCCCCAGCGAGTACGGAGCTTTTACGGTGAGTGTTACTTTTTATCTATGCTCAGACTCAGATAAAGAAGCTTTCGAAACGACCCCTAAACCTCTAGGAAGAAGATTGCCTTTTCAACATTTTTATTTAATTTCTTTCATTATCATATTAATACCAAGTAATTTAAAAGGAGATAGATAGAAAACAAGCTAAATATGATCAATCGTTCTACTTAGAAAACCACCTCATTTGTGTTAGACTAAACAACAAGCTCTACTGGTTTTAAGTCAAGTTCAAATTCATAGAATTGACTAAAAAAAATTAATAAAAATATATATGTAGGAAATTGATGTGTGAAGGAGCATGTTCAATTTTTCAAACAAAAAAAAGTAATTCATAGGTTGTGAGTGTAGTATTTATTGTATCATGGTTCCACAAAATACACTTATATACCTTTCGCGATTCTCATATATAACAAAACAATTTATTTTCCAATCAAAACTATACCCTTCATGCCACGATAAATTTGGTAAAATTTATTTTGAAACGATTCTAATCATATCCATCAATTTACAATTTCTCGTCAATCGTTCAAAAATAAAGCGTATCATCTACGATCTCAAGAATCTGTGTCAGGAGTATTATAAGAATAATATATTTTTTCTTTAAAAATTCATATCAAATATGTAAACATCTATTCCATCAGTTATGGAATTTTAAGTAGAAAGCCATTTAATAATCTAGTGTAGGAATTATGACGAATTCGTATGAATTCCCTAAAATGACTTATAAAAATAATCTATATACAATTACTCTACATTTTATAGGCTTAAATTTTATGCATTGTATTAAAATAATACAGTTTTCAATTCTATATTTAGTTATATACCTAGCCAAGCTCGATAAAAGGCAACTTCTCTAATTCGTATCAACAGTCAACTATGCTAGTCTTAAGTACAATTTATCTTTCGCTAATCTACTATTATTTGCAGTAATAGTTGCATTGACTTATAAAGGTGAGCAGCGTTAATAATTTGGTAATTCGTTTGTGTAAACGTTACTTATTGTAAATAGATTCAAGACTCAAGTGTTTTATTACGCGCAAAACCTTACGATAATAGTTCATTGAAGATGACTGAAAAAAGTTCAACAGCAAATTTATTAAATAATTATTGTAATAAAATTTTCGAAAGTGCATAACTTTGAAAGATGAAATATTTTTTGGTAAAAGCATGCATTTTTACGTAAACTCTATGTACATAATAAAACTGCAGCAATGAGCAATCAGCAATAAGAATAGTTCATTGAAGTAAAAAATATTTACAATCGATAATAATATACTCTGTAGCATTAGTATCATGTATGCATAACAGTATACACGATCAGTTAATCAAGTAAGACTTTAAAAATGCAATAGAAAAATATGTATATTCAACACAGATAAATATGAAATTTCATTAAACTGTAAAAATTGTACAAAATGCGTATTTCAATCAATCATAATATCAAGTAGGAACAAATAAGGAACGTTTACTATGTATTATATATAATAGTAATAATAATTAATATTACTTAAGTCCCAAATGTATGATATACAATTTTCTATCTACTGTGCATGGTCTAATTCAAAAGGTGCGTAATCATGTAAATGCAAAATAATGCAACAATAAGTTGAAGCTCTACCCATGATACCTGTGGTAGATGGTAATAAGCTCGGTAACGTTTCGTATGTACAATCACGGAAAATAGAGCCTCAACCTATTCTAATGAAAGAGATTTAAAAAACGTCTCGCCGCGTTCGCCACTGTTAATCAATGAGTGAGTCGCGCTGTTAATCGAAGCGTACATAACCGTCCTGGGAAATACCTGAACCACTGTGCAGGCTCTCCTCGCGCTGATAGCCGTAGATAGTTGGCTCGTTAGTGAAGTTGAAAGGCATAGGGCTGTATCCCGTGGCTGCGTGAGGAGCGTAAGTCCCCGAGTAAGGCATATCCCAAGAGCTTGGCGGTGGCAACGGGCCGACTTGATCGCAGTCTAGCTTCATGTTGCTCATCGCCGAGATCAAGTCCCCGAATATATAATAGCACTGCTCCGAGAATGTTATCTTGTTTACTGTGTGTCTGATTAAGCCAGCTTTCAACATCAGAGATGCATATTTGCGCGCATCTCGCCTACAATTGTGTAAATCGCGTCAAATTAATTTGTGAAAATTCGTGAAATCAAGTATGAAATTGGACATGTACCTGTCGATGAAGCCTTTAACGTTTTTGTTTAGCCAATCAACAACGTCGGCACCGATGAAGGCATTGGGTATTGTAATCTTGAGCCACAAGCGATCACGGACCTCAAGACCCGAGTCCGGCCGGGCCATGGCTCTCACGATCGTCGTCATGTCAGAGTTGATCGACAAGTCTTGTTCATCGAACGGCCCTGAAAATAGATTGAGTACTGGTTCTTTAGTAATATCGTTGATTCTATTTCGAACAGTCGATTGTGAATAGAACGGCGAAACGAGCTCGTCGCTTGTAGTCAAATAATATAAAACTCACGTTCTGCGTCGGGCAAGGTGCTGGCCAAACTGCTCGACGTCGAAGTGATGGTCGTGGCACTCGGTGGCCTCGGTGGAAAACCTTCCCCTCTTATAGCCGCCGTATGAGCGACCCAAGCGCCTGGATCAATCGGGCGTACGGGTTCGGTGCGCGGTATCGTAAAGTAGCCTTTTGGATTCGGATCCCAGCATTTGGCCACTACCAATTTAATCGGCCTGCGGAGTCGGTGGATTTTTATAAACAAAACGTCCTCGCAAAATCACCTCTATCGATCAACTTACCCTGGTTTTTGAACGACTTCTCGCAAAACTCGAACTGCTTCGTCGTTCGACATGTTCTCAAAGTTGATATCGTTAACTTGTAGAATCATATCACCAGGTTCAATGCGACCATCTAAGGCAACGGCTCCTCTGTTGTTGAAAAAAATCAGTACATTGTAATACGGTTGTTTGGAATAATTTTTCAAGCGACTGTTGGATGGAAAATTTACCCTTTCATGATAGACCCGACGTAGATGCCACCATCGCCCCCTTTATTGCTCTGCCCGACTATGCTGATACCCAAAAAGTTGACCGTGTCCATATTGAGCGACACAGTGATTATGTTCAAGGACATGGTGCTGTCGGTAATGCTGCTGAAGGAAGAGGTCCGCGACATCGGGGGCAGCCTGTGGCGCCGACGTCTCTGTGTCCGACGCTGTCTGTCCATCGTCTGACGGTCTATCGCACTGCTCATCGTGTGTCTGCCAGTGGTCGAGGTGATGCGGCTGCTCGCGTCGTCGTCCGACTCCAAGAACGTCGTCGTTTCCAAATCGGAGCTCAAAATCGAAGCCGACTCGTAACCCATCGCTGAGCGATGTTTCGAATGGCCATTAATGCGCAGGCCTAATGAAAATATCAATCATTGACATAAGAAAAAAGAAAATTAAATAGAAAAGTAGCTGCTGCCACGACGTACCGTTGTATTTGTTGTATTTCTCGTATTTGTCAGCGTGATGCCTAGCCGATTTGTGCAGGTGCTGGCCGTGATGCCTGCTGCTCATGATGCTCTCGGTCTCGGTCAGGGTGTCGTCGTGCGACAGAGGGGGAAGGGGCGGCCGCGTCGTGTGGCCCGGCGTAACGTGATCGACCTTGTCGTGATGATGAGGCCCTTTCGGGTGATCTTGCTGCGGTGCCGTGTCTGTACATTGCGAGGCCCCGTCCGACTGATTGCTGCCTTCGGCCAGGACGAGCTGTACGATCGATCAAGTAGATTATGCTTTTAATATTTTGCTTTAAAAAAATGCTTTACAAAAAGTTCGGAGCTATCCGATGCTTACCCATGACACCACTCGGCCGTTGAAGCATGGAAGATGCGCGTCGTCGTCTACGATTTCTTCTTTGACAACGCTGCAAAATAAAAGAGGAAACAAATGAAAAGCAAGTTTACTGGAAAAGGTGGAGAAAAATCTCGAGTATCCAGTTATTTGACGAGCCGATAAAAATTTCACAAAAAATACCATCGGTAAAAAGCCACGAAAATTGAATAAATGAATCTTAAGAATCGACGTAGGTTTAATTTCCGCAATTTTGCTCTGTGAATGAAAACCTCGGCTCAATGGAAATACAAAAAAAATGCGGCAAGCGGTGCTTACGGCAAAGAATCCGATAAAACATCTCGAGAATATCTATATATGCGCCAGTAGAGAACGAAGGCAAAAGCCACGCGGATATCCTGCGGCTCGAAAAAATAAAGTTTGAAGGGCCGGGCAGGGGTAGGCAGGCAGGCACGCGCCTGGAATGCGAATCTTTGAAAATGCACAAATAAAAATACTGCTGACAAGTTAAAGAAGCAGAATAAAGGTCTATATCTATCTATCCTTCTCTATCTCGGAATAAGTATAACAACACTCGTTAAAGCATGTCCCGCAGGTGCAGCGTATATATAATAATACAAACAGGAGCGTCGGTGTGGAAGCTGCTATATAGCCGATGACGAAGAGGACAAAGGTCGCGCACACGGCTGGCAATATTATGTATATATGTATACGATGCTGAAGTCGTTGTATTTTTTTTCATATACGCACTCGCGCACGACCCTCGAAAAAAAGGGTGCGTGCGTGACACATACGCACATAAACGTACACACACACACACAAGCGCGCGAGAAGAGAGAGAGAGAGAAGAGAGATAGATCAAAGGGAGTTTGAGGAACGGCGTGTGTACGAGCGCCTATCAGAACTCTGCCATCGTGTGGATGTGCGCGCGCGCGTGTGTGTATATGCGAGAGTATGCAGAAAGAGAGGAAGAGACAAATAACTGCTGTTGCTGCTTTCGGATAAATACGCGTGCACACGGTAACAGTGCACGCGCGGCTTTTTGGACCTCGAGGGCTTCGCGAGTAGTTGCGATATACGAGATGATGCTGCAAGATTTATGACGTATATCCTATAGTCGTATCGCTAGCAAATTTTTTTTTTTTTTAAGGAAAAATAACAACAGCAAGAGACGATATTTTTGTAAAGAAAACGAGCTCGATAATGCAGGGTCGATTTTTCCAAGAACGAAACTCGACGAAAGAACGAGAAGGAAGGATTAATGAAAAATATCGTTGGCAGAAGAGCAAAGAAAGGACGAGGCAACAAAACATCTATACTCGCTTCACATGCCAAACAAGAAAAGAATAAAAGAGAAAGCAGAGATAAGTTTTCAGTGAGGAAAATTTGGTTTCATCATAATGGATTAAATGTTCAAAGTCAAAATATATATTAAAAAATGCGCGGAAAATATTTTAAATATCGCGTGCTCGACTTTGACAAAGAATTATACGCAAGTCCCATGAGTAGGCGGCTCGGCGATGAGCTCCGTACGTCCTCGCAACGTTACGTGCGGAGTGTATAAACGAACGAGAGAAGTAGAATGAAAAAAGGAAGAGGGGTTGCGTCAGAGAAGAAAAAAGAAAGAAGAAAATACAGCCGCTTTTGCCAATTTGGCAGAATTTCAAGAAATCTTTCTCTCTCTCTCTTTCTCCTTGCAGAGCTGCAACAACAACCTGCAAGAAAGTCAACCAAAGGGATGGGGTATTTGTGTCTCTTTATTTTCCCTCTGCTTAATGCTGCCGCCCCGCACGCGTCGGTTGTACGCACATCTCTATATGTGTGCGTGTGCGCTGTGATTCTGTCATGCGACCGTATTTATGCTTTTTTATTCGGCTCGTTTGCACACGCGTTATGTACTCGCGCACATACAGTACTGTAGGCCTTCATTATCCTTCATAGTAATTATGAATTTTTTTCCTCCTTCTTTTCGTCGGAAAAGGATTGAATGACGCCGTATACCATCATTACGGCTGACAATTGAATGAAAAGTTGCGCACATACAGAGAACACGCGGTTGATGGAAAAATTGTCCCTCTCTTTCACGGTAATCGTCGTCACAACAGGCGTGAAATCAACTTATCGAAATTCAGCATTTTAACGCCTCGAGGCTCGAGGCTCTCGAAAATATCTCGTTAGCGTGTTTATAGGCGCGCGAGATCAATTTATGCCTGCGTAGACGCGATCGCGTATATATAGCGAGAAAAATATTTGTGCTGCCTATATGTATGCTCGATAAGGTACTACGCAAACGCAGAGCAAGAAAATTGAATTGGAATCGAGTTAGCAGCTGCGGACGAATGATTAATGTATTTGGCAAATATATAATGCACGAGCAGCGCAGTCCTTGAAAAAATTCGTCGAGTTTATCTATCGGCAGACGGCATTAGATACTTTATTTATCGTCGCTCGCACGTGCGTCGGACTAGTGGGAAAGAATTTCCCGGGTAAGAAAGCGAGAGAATTCACAGCTTCGCTTCGTGTGAATGTTTAATAAAACCATGCCGGACAGAGTCTTAAAAATGCAGCAGCAGCCGCAGCCGCATCGGCAGCAGGTTTGTCGTTCGAGATTGTATACACAATATGCGCTGCAGCAGAGCAGCGACCTTCGCGAGGCGCGTTAATACGAACGACGACACAGAAAATAAGATAACGAGCATCGCGACACATACGCGTATTGGCCTCATGCGCCTTATAACGCGTATACCCGGGTGCGTAATAATAAAACATAATCCGCAGGGGGAGAGAGAGAGAATGGATATTCGCACCGACGTGCAGTTATATACTGCAGCCGACACTTTAAGTATACGATATGCCAGTAGCAGCAGCATTACCGCAGCGAGACTCATTTATTCACGCGGTGCGAAATGTACAAGTGTACAAGGTACAAGGAAAAAGAGAAGCGTATCAGCTCGCGAAGCAGAGAAAGACAAATGCCGCAGAGTAGAGTTCGCTGCTACTATCATTTCCAGTATATATACGCTATATGATCATCGTATCTCGTGTATATTTTCTACCCTATCTCATAGGTGCAATATCACACTGACGGCTCGTTAAATTTCGGCAAATTTATCTTTCCGATCGCTGCTCCGAATTCACGCTGTAATTGCACGCATTCAAAGATACGGCGCGCGGCTTCTGCACGATCAGTGTCAATGTTTATTTGATCGGGCGGGAGAAGCGTGAAAATAAAGGCAGAGCCCCCCGCGAGTGTAGGCGTACGTCGACCTCGCTACTGTCTTTCTCTCTCTGTCTCATTCTCTCGGCATCTCCGCCTTGTGCGGAGAATCAAAAATTGTACGCTTATGTAAATTGAAGACGCATCGACGACTACGTTAGAGACCGGCAGCTTACTCGCACTGGTATGCGTTCAATCGCATCGGACAGCATCATAAGTAGACCGGATATCGAAATGATGATACCCGTGTCTGAGGTCAGCTATGCAGCAGGCGATAAGAGAAGAGAAAAAGGCACATCGACTCTTCGTTCGCATCTACAGATTGAGTGTCAAGTAACTAACTCTCGTACATTTACAGCTCGTGTCGGTGCAACGGATTTTCCGACGAAGAGGAAGAATAAAGGAACGACGATCGTCCCAGAACGGAGTCGACTTTTCGCAGTTGGCTCGCTCGATCTCTTTAATAGAGGCCAGGCTTTCCAGGAAAACTTTTAAATAGCTACTGGCCAGTGTTTACGTGCCGAATCGCTGCGCTCCTCGCTTTAAACCTATATACAGACACACATGCGTATGTGTGCGTGAAGCGCGATCACTCGGCTTACTCGGTACTCGTGCACGCGCAAACCGTCGATTTTGGCCACTTCTCTGTAAATCAGCCCGTTACGCTATTTTTTCGCGTTTGTTTCATTCGTAAGATACGTACCCAAAATCATCGTCCATGGATTTAAAAAAGTACTTGTAATTGGGCCGATTGAGGACGTTCTTGAAATCAGCCAGGGTGACGCTCTCGGGCGGGCAGCTGACTTTGACGAGATAGGGCGTCTCCTCGTCGTCGATGTGATAGATGATCTTGGTCTCCTTGGCCGAAGACGTCTCGTGCTGCTGCTGCAGTGTGGCATTGTTGTGCTGCTGCTGCTGCTGCGGCTGATCCTGATTCTCTTGCAGTTTGTTATTTTCCTCCATGATCGCGAAAACTCGCTGCTACCGCTGCCTTATGCGATTTTACCGCAATAAACATACGACGAAGGAAGAGAGACGTACGAGCGAGAGAGCGAGACAGACAGATGGACAGCAGCAGCAGAAGTTGAGCTGCACTTTCGGCGCTACACCGTGTATATACACGCCCGCACACACGCACTGCACTCGGCATTCACTGATCACTGTGCATCCTACGACCGGATTTTTTTTTCGACGTTGGGTTATGAAGCTCGATCACGTATCACTCGAGCAACATAGTGTTGCGTGCTGTTTTGCTGCAGCGAAGACGGCCAAGACGACGACGACGACGACGAGGAGGAGTTACGGGCAATATGGCGTCTCGTGCGCTGAGCATGTATGTGTGTGTGCGTACATAAATTCGCGTGTCGATGTGTCTGGCTCACAGGCCAGTATACGTGTATAGAGCGCGCGCCTACGCGTACACACCAACAGGCGCCTATCCGCCACCGCTACTGCTGCTACCGCTATTATACGCACACATACACAGTCACGCGCTCCTATGTACAAGCTACGTAATCCCCTCTGTGTGCTACGTACTATATATAGCTATATGGTAGCTATATGAACTCGTGATGTATGTGTCGGTGCTCCGAAATGTCGAACCGGCGGCAGCGGCGGAGTTTCAGGACGAGCAACGGCAGCAGCACTTGGTGGCGCCGCCAAGAGCGATCATCGTCCTCGCGTCAAGTACGGCATCAACTCGGCGGCTTCAGCAGCGGCGACGTCTTGCTCGTCGTCATGGCTCGACGCAGCTTCTCGAAGATACTCGGCTCTCTGTATGCCTCCGCCTTTAAAGGGACACGCGTATTATGCACGTTCACAAAACTGTCCAACAGCGGTAGTAGCACTGACTCGCGTTTACAAATTCTGTCCCTATTCTCTGTAAGAGACGAGACTCTCGTTTGATAGTACTCGCTTTTGACAGGTCGAATTGCACAATTTGTTTACGGCTGCGCGCACTCGACCGCTGGCACGGGACGATTGTTGTTCTTTAGGCGAGGAGCCGCTGACAGCCGCGCAACATCATGGCGGATCCCCCCCCAGTGTGTGTGTGTTTGTATGTGTATAAGGTTGGTACACTCGTGTGTGCAGTGCGCGAACTTGTCTCGCGGCGCGACGATGCGATACTGCCTGCTGCTGCTGCTGCAGCACCACAACTCCGCCGCGGTGGAGGAGTCTCTCAACTCGCAAATGTACTCTCTCGACTATATACACTACTGCACTCACACAGGAACGTATCCTATACGCAGAAAGTGAGCGAGAAAGAGAAAGAGAGAGAAACGTACATCATCCGTATAGCTGCAGAGAGCCACATACACATACATTATACGAACAGGGAGAAACTTATATGGCTCGTGTTATTCTCTCTTGCTCTTTTCTCCTGTTTTATATGGTACACAGAGTCTGCTCGATGCTGGGCTTGGGTGTGGGTGTTGTATGCCAATGCGCCTCGACTGCCTTGCGATATCTGTATAGGTATACGATTTGCATGGGTGTATCATAGGCACGGGGGGATCGGCGACGTCGAGTGGAAATTTTGGAATCTCGTCTGATTCACTATCCGTAAAACTATCTCGGCGCGCGCGCGCCAATTGCCGCTCGACCTATGACATTACTTTTGTGCATCGATCACCCGCAAGAAACCCGAACCCTTCGCGACTTTCCCTTCATACGCCTTAATTTATTTTCAAATCTACGATACTTTGTTCGATTGCATTGCCGCAATTGTTAACGACACATATAAATCGTGTGCCAGGCACTTCTGTTTTGTTTTTCGGCCAAGCTGCAGACTCGTCGACATCTTCCGATGTCCCGCATCGACTGATCAATCCTTTCTCTTTTCTTACTCACGTTCCAATAATCCAATATGTATCGAAGCGCAGAGAAACAAACGAGTCTCGCGCTCATGTCAGCTCCCTTGAAAAAAGCTCGCTCGCGGATCCTCGTCCCGGGTTTTCTAAGCCGGTAATAACATTCGAGCGAATACGTTCGAAAAATCGCCAGGGACAACTCGGAGTATTATTTAGCGGGCTTCCGGAATTGTTTCTCTGCGCAAATTGCACTCGTCGATATATGCTCACTCATTCGTATGTATAGTACCGAGGTGTCGCCAAATATCTAGCAGTAACAAGCCTCGCACGACGATCGAAAAATACGCGACAACGCCCCATCGCGCACGTCTGCCTCTTTTTATTATCCTGTACATCGTCGCATATATATGATGGGGGAGAAAAATCCGCCGAGCGCCGTAACGTCTGATGACATTTGCTCTTCAACTCGACAGATGTGCTCAGCGGATGAGAGCTAATGCCTCTGCTTTTAAAATCCCTGCGGACATGTGTGAATGTGTCATCATTGGCCACGATGCAGTGCGTGGGTGAAATTTCGCAGCCTTACGAGTGCGCATCAGCTGTCAAATAAAATAACAAAGTCTGTACAACTTTCAGCCGAGTAAGAATTTCGGCCAATTTTGATTGTTTGGCTGGATTTCGTCAAGCCCGCAATCGTAGATACTTATAAAGATCAAGTAAAAACGAGATGCGGCAAGGTTTTACCCGAGCTTTTGTCCCGCGCTGTCTCAATTTCGAATATATGGTTTCGCGTTTTATTGTCGCGGACGGTATACGAACCACGACTCGCTTTGCCGATGGTCGACCATGTAGGAGAACTAAACCGCAAGAGAGCAAGATCCGTTTGGAGCAGTTGCAAACTTGCAGCGCGCGTGTGGCGGCGCGCGCGCGCATTCGAGCCAGCAGCCGACGCGACTTGATATAACTCCCAGCAGAGACATTCTCCTTCCTTCTCGTGTTGTTGCACATTCGACTCGTGCGCCCACCACTTTCCTCGTTACCAATCCCATATATCGCTGAATATGACCATATCTGGAAGTCTGGTTGCACTTAAGCCGTTCGATTCATGGCCATATAAAGGGGACGATGATGCATCGGGTGCATACTAAACTCAGGTGCGTTATACGTCGCTTGTTCAAATTTAAATCTTAAAAACTCATATCCTCGTCAAGTTTTTTGTTCTAATTTTTCACTTACGTCCTTTTTTTTTTAATTGACGATTAAAAATTATAAAATATATCTCAGTGTTTTCAGCGTTTTATAGTAGAGTGAATTTCTTATAACTGGTGGACGCTAATTACTTATGCAGAAATATATGGGCGCTGTTTCAGATGCTCTGATATTGAAAATTGTTTATGTTAAACATGTTTAAAATGAGTGCATCTCCATTAGGAATGAATTTTTTGTTGACTGACGATGGAAACACATTGTTGGCTATGCGTCGTAAGTATTTCATGATAACTTTCTAATTTTCTTAAGGTTAGTAAAGTCATACTAATAGTTTTGATATTTTCAGAAGCGAAAGATGGAACGCTGGAGCTTATGTCGACTCCAGTTACAATTGTTGGTAATACATCTAATCAAGTTTTACAGTCTTTGACTAATTCAATGCTACGTTTCAAATCCAACTATGTAAGTTTTTATGAAAATAATTTTAAACTATAGATACATAATACATTTTTTTTAGAGTGATCCAAACAGTCTTTCTGTAGACAATGTACAGTTTAAATCATTACATAGTTCACATTCAATTTCCATCAATCAAGTACATTCATCAAATATGAATAGTACTGTGTCTCACCATTTAAAAGATTTTAAGGAAAATATTGAATGTGATGACGAGTTGCTTGAATTTTCTCAAGAACTTTCTTGCTGTGGCAGAAATGCATCCAGTACACAAAACTGTGATAAACAATATTCTGGTAAGCGTAGTAAAAAATCAACAGCATCCAAAAAACAAGCAAAAGGCAAAAGTAAAAATAAGGGTGTAAAAGTGAGTATCTAGTTAGTATGTCAGTTTATTAGTTTTGAATGTGTGTTAATTAAACCATAATTCACCCTAAAAGGATTTATACCAGTGTGATATGTGTGCAGAAGAATTTGAAAAATATTCCGTTTACCAAAAACACTTGCATGACCATGCTTTTGATAAAGCTTATCGCTGCCCAAAATGTGCTGAATCGTTTAATGCACCAGTGAGTACAATATTAAATCTGAACTAATATATTTACTTACATTGATCATTGCTTTTCAATGAGCAATGAGATCTTTAAGTTTTAAATCTGTACTAAAATAATTTATTTTTCCAAAACTATCAATAAATAATAATTAATTAAAACTAACAAAAGTGGACTTTTCTTTCTCACACCATAAAAAAAAAAACAATAATGAATTGTATATACAACATGAAATGCAAAACTATATTGTAGCTCAATTTCAAACTACACATGGCCATACACAAGCTCGGCAGCCCAAAGTGTCCGGAATGCGGGAGGAAATTTTCGCGCTTAGCGAGTCTGAAAACTCACATGAGAGTCCACGAGATCGACGAAAGTCTTTACTGCACCGAATGCGACGACGTATTCGACTCCAAGGTAAGCGTGTATACAGATATACAGAAAGAGAGAGGACATTTGATAATTTCCCATCCGCCACGTGCGGCGCAAGATAAAATTAACACGTAATAGCAGTCGTGCATGCAAGTGGCTGCGCACACGCTAGATAAGTAGGTTGAGCACTGCGCGAGCGAGGAGAGCATTTTACATCACGGACAATAAAAAGCGATACTCGACGCTTTTTGTCTTGCAATAATCAAGGTGGAGCACGGAGAGGCGAGAAAAAGAAAAATTGACATCAGACGACTCGTGCGTTACGGAAGTAAATCGGCTTGTTATCTTGTATTTATTTATTCGTTGTTGTTTATTATCACTCCAAGCGTATCTGTAATTGATCTGCAGAAGCAACGCTAATATATCTTGCATAGAGCATCGTTCTAGGAAAAATGTATCGAAGCGAAGTGAAGCTCCTTCGCACATCTTAAATATTAATAGTCTCGAGTACTAGTATAGACGAGAGCAGATCGGCTCGGGGAAGCAGATTGATTCTTGAAGTGCCAGGCAAAATGAAGTTGACAGTCTACATATGTTCGTTTAGACGCGCACATGTGTAATATACATATAAGTGTGATTTTTTTCTTCGCTCGACGTGGGCGATCCGCAAGGCCCTGCGCACATAAAGACAGTGTCTTTGTCGCGACGGGCCGATAAATCACTCGAGCTTCAAAATTACTGCACGACGCGAGCAGGCACGCAGACCGAGAAAAATCAGCAAAAGCTCTGAGATCGTTAATACCGTCAAAGATTGACGCACTTACTATTCTGATATTATTGATCGCTACACCCCGATATCGATGGAGCTTTGGAGACGTCGACAGGGTGTCAAGCGCGCAAAATCGTACAGGGAAGAATTGTCGAAAAGCTCCGAGCCGTAAAGATAACGCGTGCATATATCGGTAATCCGAGCACAAGTTCATAATTGCATTAGTTAATGAATTTAATTTTCGTTTCGCCTCGCGTCTCGCAGTAGTTGTAATGGTATTATATAGTTGCAGTAGTAGTCTCTCAATCAATGAAAGTCATTTATGAATCTCACACGCGATATCTTAGGGCACGATACGCGTTGTGGGTGTGTGGGTGTTGCGTATCTGTGCGTTAACATGGTGAGCTGTAAGTTAGCTAAGTAGTTATAAATATACATATACACGCGTATATAGCGAGAGAGTGAAAGAGAGAAAGAAAGAGAGTTTATATATACATGTATTAAAGCCAACTGCGTCCAAAGACTTGAATTCTTTGTCGGCGCTTTTTCACATTCTCCTATTTCATCTCTCGTGTCTTATATACGCGATCCTATATGTATATATATTATTAACGTAGAAACTGCTGCCGTTTAGGCTGGCTCATGTCACGATGTGTGTATAGATATATATATATGATACAGCGCACTCTTAGCGCTTGCGAACTGCTGCGGAGAGAGCCATAAGCGCCACGCGCGCGCAGTACAAGTCGCGACATCAACCGAGCCTCATAAACTTCATATCGCGCTCTGCACGCGTGTAGCCGAATTTTTTTTCCTGCGTTTGTTATTGTTGTGCTGTAACAGGACAAAAAACAAGAAACAAAGTGACAGCAGCAGCCAAGTAGGTGTAGTGCAGTGCGCGGCCAATGATTAGTCCTGCAGAGGAGGAGGAGGAGCACGAGTTGGCCCAACTCGAGTGCGGAAAATCGTGCGCGACACCGGGCCTGGAATAATATAAATCGCAAGTAGCTAGTCCGTGCGTACCTTTGATGAGCTCGAGCTCGAGCTTTGCGGATCGCGCGCGTACGCACCCACACGAGCTCCCTATTCATACACCTTCGAGTCGGAGCTTTTCCCGAGCTTTTACGGATTTTTTCGAGAATTCTCGGGTCGAAGCCGTGACGAACTGTTGCACCATTTGTCATTTGTCAACGGGCAAACGGCAAAAAAAACAGAAGAAAAAAAAACAAGAGAGCAGCGGTAGCAGAAGAAATCGAGACACGCGCGAACTTGTTGGTGTAAACACCGCAGGCTAATCAATCTCCATGTAAAAAAATCACGTTATTTCTTGCTCGGCGAGCGAAGAAGCCCGTATAGAAAACGGCTGGGCGATAAATCGGTTGCGTATCCCGTCGGAGGGACGAGGGGGCGCGCGGGCTATCTCGAGTATCGAATTTTATAAAGTTGTCGAGACCGAAAAAGTGAATACAAGTCGGTGCTCTGTGCTGGCTGGATCTCGGATTATCTTCAAAGCGTACGATAATGACGACGACGTCGACGACGATTTGATGCGACATCAAATCTCGCTCGTTTAATGTAGAAACAAGTGCGGCGACTCTGATCCGATGCTCTTTTTCTCTCTCTCTCTCTCGCTCGCTCTCACAAAGCTCTCGAGGTCAATGACAATTTTTCGCCTATTTCTCGCTCTTTTCCGATAACGTTTTGTGCGCGACGTGATATTATTCTCGGAAATGGTGACAAATCTGCACGCGAATAATCGCAGCAACAGCAGCAGCAGCTCGCGATCGTCGCTCGGCCAGATTATTTTCCAGGGCAATTTTTTAGAAACTTTAGCACCCGACGCGATCTACATTATTCGCCTTCCATCCGTCCGTGCGTCCAAGTGTGTGTGTGTGTGGAGCAGAAAAGAGAACTGCATCTCGCGCGCATAAGTCATGGCAATAATACGGGCACGAGTGCACAGGCACATCGCTCACGAGTTTGTTTGGAAATGTCGGCGCACGTGAAACGACTTGATGTGTGTTCCTTTGCGCAAATCGTTCGAATAGTTTTGTTTACACAGGCAGCAGCAGTAGCAGCATCAGCATGTGCTTATATCGCTGCAGCTCGAGGCTCGTTTCGCGACTCGTCTTATAGAATTCGACTGGCGAGGCTTTTCATGGAAAATCTAATTGTGACTTGTGTCGTGTGACGTATGCCGTATACAACTCGCTACTTTTATTTATAAAATAGCTATTTGACTCGAGAGCTATGCAGTCGCGCGGGGTCGCGACTTATAGGCTCGATTTTCCTCGATCGACTCGACTATTAATAAAATTGGCCACTTTTTTCGCTGTCGAGCGCGCGAAACAACGCGAGAGAGAGCCGAGAACGCGAGAAAGAGAGAGAGAGAGCGAAAAGCTCGACTTGAGCGAGCTATCGGCCAACGGAAGTGCAAGTCGAGCATGCTCTCAGAGAGACAGAGAGAGAGAGAGAGAGAGAGAAAAGGTCGTTGTTGTTGCGCTCGATAAACGTATAATGGTTAAAGCGATGGGGAACGCCGAAATGCACTGGCTCTGCTCTCGAGCCGTGCGCTTATACGTGTGCGCGTAATGTACAAAAACGAAAATAGACTTTTATGATTAGCGCCTCGGAGTCCAGTCGATCTGGAAATCGGTGTCGTGCCTACACACCCACGTCGGCAATATACGCGAGCTCCAACGCATAACGCGTATAAACGCCAAGTCGGATAGTCACCCCAGCTGTCGATGTGAATTACTGCCTTGGATATTTTCGTATATCGTGCGCGGCGCAAAGAGGCTCATGACTTATCGGCGATACGTGCGTTTATCCCAACGGCTGATTATAATTCGGCGAGATCGGGGGGCCGATCGCTCGCAGCCAAGAGGGACGAAAACGTCGCGAGATACGACGAGATAGGCCACCGGTTTAAGTACATACGAGTGCTTTTCTTCGACAATGGGACAAATCTTGGCGGCCTTAATAGACCCGAGCACGTATATGTACTAGAGCTCAGCTGCCTCGCGCGCCCGGCTAATCGAATTGTGCACTCGAAGAAAGTCGAGTAGAGTCGAGCAAGAGAGAGAGAGAAAACTATATCACTATTACAGGCCATTTAGTCACTATCGAGAACATTGATCTAAATCATGGAACAATTAAGTCAAATTAAAAGTAAAGATCATGTCGCTTCGCAACGCGAAGAGAGTCGTCTTGGAGCAGAGCGCGCGTTTGCACATAAACTGGTTGATTTGACAAAGTGCATCGTACCATACGGCGGACGGCACGGCCGGGTCCAATCAACGTTATCCCTTTACTTTACTCGGTCATGCGTCGAGTTATCATAGCTACGCAGCCTGCCACGCACAACGAGCGTAATAATACAAAAGATATGGATCTACATAATAATGTCAAACGATCGGTCTCAATTTGCAAGCTCCTTAGGTTTGATAATTCTGCCTCCTTAAAAGTGAAAAAAAAGTACGAGTATCTTATTCGTTTCGCCAAGATGAAGCTCGTTCAAGTTTTTTGTGTCGCACGCTTTATAATGGTGCATAATGGGCAGCTATTACGAGGCGCGTCCTTTGCAGTGCTCGCACGTATAATACGCTACGGTATGTACCGAAATGCGTCGAGTCTGCGTTTTCGCGAGACATTGCCGGTATCTGTCTGTTGTTTGGCGCGCACGTACGAATTAAATATACACATAAGTATTCGCACCATATGAAATTACAGCGCTGAGCTGCGCGGGGTGTCGAATGGAGAGAGCCGATCATGGGACTCCCCGCGTGCGGCGACGAAAAAATATTATATCCCGCACGCGCTCTCTCTCTAGCTGGGAAGTTGTCGATTATGCACTTTTTCGACGCGCCGCTCGAAATAAATAATAAGTGCGCGCGCGGAATAGCTGTATGCGCAAGTGAAAAGGATGAGAGATACGAAGCGCAGCACTTCCTGAACGCGCCGAAGCCGCTCGCGCGCTTCTGGCCGGTCGCGATAAGAAAACGCTGCTCTCTCTCTCGCTCGAGATCGTGTCTCGTTACGGAACATTTGCACACGCGATGATTTCGCGTCTTCGCTCGTGTGCGCGCTGCAGCTATATGCATGTGCGTGCGCGCGTGGGTGGCTACAATTGCGCTTCCTATATATTATTATACGAGACTTGCAAATACTTTGACCCGCAACCTTTCGCAGATTTCACGACGACTCCCTAGCTCCGACTGTGTATACGTCGAGTATATACCCTCCTAAATGTGCTCGAGTTGTCCCAACGTACTTGGCGATGCTGGCAAGGAAGCTAAGCTAGAGATGAAACAGCTCAATGCCGAGAGCTTGCATTTCATTCTCCTGGCCGTCTGCACCAAGGTCTTTTATTTTGCTCTCGGACTCGGCGTCAAGTATTGCGAGGTGCGCATCCATCACTCATACACAAAAATCATGTCTAATGCTTTCTTTTCTTACATCGCATACTCTCGCATCATTGCATCTTTGCCGGATTTCAAATATTTTTTACGTAATCGTTGTAAATTCTCGTCAGCCCTGACCATATAGCCGAGGCTCGTTTTGCATTAAATGTACGATTGTTACACGCGGTGATTTATTAAAACAATTGAAATTTACGACGACCGGCCCATTAGGAGCCTATTAGGCCGAGGATAAAATTATTATACCGCGCGCGTTCAATGAAAATAGAGCGAGTTTTTTAGTTCATACAGATGCGCGGCTCTGCGTGAGAAATGTCAAATGATCGCTCGACCCGATTGCCAAGCGACGCCTCCATCAATTACTCTTATTTTGGCACGATTCGCTCTCTGTTCCAGGCACAACAGGAGGAGCACCTGAAGCTTCACCAAGAGAAATGGACCTCGGAGGAGTATCGCAACTGCAAGCTCTGCCGCAAAAATTTCACCCAGCCGGCCCTGTATCGGCAACATCTGCGCGACCACTACAGGGTGAGCTGCCGTAATCTCTTAAGTGCGCGAACTCGAACGTCGATGATAGCCCAATGATTGACTACCGAGAATGCCAAGATTTGTCGCGAAACTGGCGCGGAATCATCGTTTCGAGCAATTAATCGTACGGTTTGCGCGAATATCGCCTTTTTTTACTGTGCCATTATTCTTCCTACGTACATAACTTTTTGAGTTGTCAGAGCGGGCTTATCGTCAAATCTCGTCTCTCTAATCCCTACTTTAGCTCTGTTCGAGCAGACCAACGACTCGACATGTAAATATTGCGCACGAAAATAAAACAGACATCGCGTAAGTTACTTTTCAAAACAACAGTATTTATCACTCGTAACCTATTCTCCTGTTCAGCACACGATGACGGAATTACCAACGAAGTGGCAGCTTCACGGTGTAAGTAGGGAATTTTTATCGCCCAGAAAAGTAACGATTGTGCCTCGAATCGAGTATCTTCGTTATCCTCGCGGCGGACAAAATTAAAAAATTATCTCTCGGGGCGTCGATCCATCATTGATTTCGATTCTAATTATAGGTCCAGGAGAAATACATCAAGCAGACGAGCAGAGGTGCCAGACTGCGCACCAGCTACAAGTGCAACATATGCTTCAAAGTCTTCAGATCGCCGAGCTTTCTGTCCAGACACATACGCGTTCACACTCGGGAGAGGCCGTACAAGGTATGGCTTTGTAGATACTCTTTTGGGCTGTCAATTATTTTTCTTTATTATAGCATACACAGAGGTAGAGGTTGTAAGCGCACGCTCATATGTTTTTGCACCTTTTTTGTTTGTTTTTTATGGTTGCACGCGCAGTGTAAATTATGCCAAAAGGGTTTTTCGCAAAAAAGCTCGCTGCGCACGCACGAGTGGACGCACAGCGGCACCAAGCCCTTCTCCTGCGACGAGTGTCAAGCTAGATTTGCCATACACAGTGAGTTTTCTTATACGCAACAATTGCCACGAGAGCTTTAAAAATAAGTACACGATCATGTATAGACTTTCGCCTCTCGACTCTTTGCTTTTTCGATACACCTCTTTCTTTCCTCGTTACTGATGGCCCTCGCGCTTTTGTCAATCTCACAGGCAATTTGCGAATACACGTGAAACGTCACGAGAAAAATCGGCGAGATCGATGTCGGTCGCGGGCGCACAAGAGCTCGCACTGTTCCCTGGCCTTCAAAGAGCCGAGGGTGCTCGCTCGGCACACGAGCCGTTTCCACAATCGGAATGTCAAAAGCGCGGCAACTGAGCAATCTTCAAACGCCGCCACTATCGCGGCAAACTCCGCCGCTACCGAGAATACGGGTCAGCGTAACGAGCAAGAGCACAGAATCCAAGACGGAGAAGAACAAGAGCAGCGACTTGAGCCAGAGCAGAGATGCCAAGATGAAAGTGCAGCAAATGACAACGAGCAGGAAGTCGAGCAAGACAGTCAGGGCTTCGAATTGATGGAAAGCGACGACGATGTCGACGACGCTGAAGACGACGACGAGGAAATCGACGGGGGCGTCGTTAAAAAGAAACTTTCCGATCCAGACAAATGGTTGACGCACAAATTTTCCCATCTTTCCTCTTTTTTTCTTTATCTTTAATCCTTTTATCTTTTTCATTGCAGGAAGTACGTGCAAGTGAATCATCGGATCATAGACGGAAAGAAAGTTTACGAGTGCTTGTACTGTGATAAAATAGCCAAAAAGCCATCAGACATAGTTAGACATTTAAGTACCCACACAGGCGAAAAACCATTCAAGGTATGAATCCTTTTCGATCGGCTACCTGTTTTCTTTCCTCTACGAATTATCAATCAAATTTTCCAGTGCGACGAGTGCAATCAATCGTTTACCCTCAAAGGCTCTCTAGTCGTTCACAAGAAAAAAATTCACGGAGGAGACGCCGTCACCTGTCCAAAGTGCCCAGCTGAGCTTCCAAGTAAACAAGCGCTCAAGGATCATTTGAAGTAAGTCCCAGTTTTCCGGTAATTCTCTGTAAACAGAACATGGAGCATCGGTGACGAATGAATTTTTTATTTATAATATAAACAGAACGCACAACAAGTTCGTGTGCAAATTGTGCGAGGCGTCTTTCGAAAATTTCGAGGCGATGCGCGAGCACGCGAACGAGCACAACACACCGGCCGAGGTGAAGAACCGACGCCGCAAAATGGAGAAAAAGACCGGCTACTTGACGCGCAAACCCAAAAATCAGAGCTGGTCCGAGGAGGTGGAACAGCTGGCGGCCAAAGTCGAGCTGGCCAAGCCGCTCGTGCTGACCCAGTCGGGCGACGGTCTACTCAGAGCCGAGCCTCAGTTGCGCCAGCAGCACGGACGGGGCGAGGGTCGGCCCCACAAGTGCCCCAGCTGCACGGCCGCCTTCATGAAGCTCAGCCACCTGCAGCAGCACTACCGCAAGCACACGGGCGAGCGACCCTTCGTTTGCGAGATTTGCGACAAGTAAGGCAATTTTTCTCTCCTCGTGATAATTCCTTCCTCGGCGAATTTTCATTTGTTCTTGCTTTCAGGCCGTTCATTACGAAGAGTGCGCTCAAGGCTCACTACACGATTCACAACAAGACGAAAAATTTCAAGTGCGTGACGTGCCACGCGACTTTTTCCAACTCGAGCAGCTTGAAGAGGCACCAAACGACTCACGTGAACAAGCGTCCCTTTATGTGTCCTTACTGCAACAAAACTTTCAAGACCAGTGTCAATTGCACCAAGCACATGAAAATACATCAAAAAGAGGTTGCGCAGGAGGTTCGAATGATTTTTTTTCACTCATATTTCTTTTATCGTTGCATACACTGCGAGCGATTAACGTATTTTTTATTATGAAAGGTTCTTGAACAACAGAAAAAGCAAGCGACTCGACCACCGACTCCAGTAACTGTACAAGAAAATTTACTTGCCGATAATGAATACAATATGCCTTTAATTGTAAATATAAATCAGTCCATGCAAACGGTAACACAAAATCAAAGCCAAACTGTATTCATTGATCCAAAATGCTCTTATCTTAATTCGCCAATTGCTTCAGGTAAGTTTTCATGAGGTTTAATCTTTTCTTTACGCGCTTGAGCAAAATCGTTGAATCGTCGTTTACTTTTTCAGTATTAAACGAGCCTCAAAACGTCGATGTTGTTTCAAATCAGAATTCAGTTATTTCCAATGATCTGAACACTGCCAATTTGTCTAATTTTACCGCAGATACAACGTACACGGTGGTAATTTTTTATTCACTTTTTGCACACTATTGATTAATCTGTAAATAAGCAAACTAATTTCTACCCGTTTGAAACAGGAGAACATGCATGAAATTGAATCGTTGCATCAACAATTGTATAACATGGGCTTGAATTTCGGGCTGAATACTCCAGAAAAGACAATCGAAGATTCGAATTTCTTGCCAAATAGAGATCAGCATCCAACTTTGAGCATCATTTACGACAATGGTAAAGTGGATTCATCGGTCGATTTGAATACATTTTCTTCTCAACTCGAAAGTCTCGGTATCAATCAGTTGGCATTTCAAGTAAGTCATAAAAATTGTTCCTTCTATCCGGCTTATTGAATTGTTTTCACGATCCAAAACTTATTGACAGGACGTTGGCGATTCCAATGTTGCCTTAGCCTCGAACAACACTGCTGCGCCCATCAACTTGTGTTCCGAAGTTATGGAGCAACAACAGCAGCAACAAAATAGTCTCAATGTTTTGGCCTCGCATCAGAATCAAAGTGCTAATCTGAAGCTTCAAAACGTCAATCCGAACATGCAAAGCGCCGCGCCAAAGATAGACGGCTCCGACTTGAATATACAAAGGGCCCTATGTTTAAGCGATAGTAATTTTAGCAACGGCTTTTTGTGCACCTCGCCTATGGATATACTCAATGAGAAGTTCCTTGAGCAAAACGAGGGGTTCATTAGCGAGGATCAAAATCTACAGTGCCATATATGTGATAAGCAGCAACTGTCAGTGAAGGATCTGCAAAAACATTTGAAAATTCATCAGGTTCGAGTCAAGGAGTACGAGTGTTTTCAGTGTTCTTACAAATTTCACTCCAATAGTGGGCTAAGTAGACACATGAAAACTCACAAGAATCAAGAGCAAGTATTTTATTTATCACATGGGCTCTCCAAACAAACTTAATACTGAACGTCATTGCTTTTACAGGACCCACAAATGCTACGAGTGCAATCAAGAGTTTCCCACATCGCTGCAGTTGAGGGAGCACATAAAAGAACATGTAAAATATGAATTGGCACGTAAAAATGCCGCAGGGGACTCGGATGTATCGGTAGACATGGATTTGGGTTCGGATAAGGTTCGTATAGAATTATATCAAATATACCTTGTTTTATTATTTCGACAAATTCATGTAATTGTAATTACAGAAAAGTCCCAAATCAAAGAAAAACGTTTGTGATTACTGCTCAAAAATGTTCGGCAAACCCAGCGATCTCGTGAGGCACGTAAGAATTCACACTGGCGAAAAGCCCTACAAGTGCGAATATTGCGCCAAGAGTTTCGCCGTCAAATGCACTTTAGTGGCACACCTGAAAATTCACAACGGTCATAAATCATTTCAGTGTCACGTGTGTAATAGTATGTTCGCCTCGAAGGGTGGTCTCAAAGTACACATGCGGCTGCACACAGGTAGGTTATTTTTAAGGCCAAATACTTCCGATGAGAGAATTTTTCGAATCAAGGATTGTTGAAGTGAAACATTTTGTATTTCTTCTAGGAGCCAGGCCGTTCGAGTGCAACGAGTGCGGCCTGAAATTCCGAACATCCGGACACCGTAAAGTTCACATGCTGACGCACAGTCAAGAAGTTCCAAGCATCGTTAATAATAGCAACGTTAGCCAGGCTCAACTCATCGTCGACAACGACATGAGCAATGGTAAGCTCGTTGATCTGCCGATGGTCGAAACGGACGTAGAAAAATTATTGGAAAATAGTCACTGGATGGAGAACTTGAAGTTCTTGATGAACAACGGCTTGGCCAACATTCAAGACGGCCAAAATGAAATTGAAGCTGACGCTCAACAGCAGCAAGAACAGCAATCCCAAGCCACATCGCCTCTCGTTTTCTCAACGTCACTGGACAACGAGCAAAGCCTAGTCGAGGGCGAGAACTGCGTACTACTTAAGTTACAAGAAACACTGCCAGAACAAATTAATGAAGAAAAGCAAGAAATAGCAACCGGGTAAATTATAAAACGTGTCAATAACTTTCAAGTAAGATCTTCATCATAATGATTCTAATTTTTAAATTTCACAGAAGCGGTAAATTACGGCAATGTGTTCAGTGTAGCAAAACATTCTCGAAGCCTTTCCAGCTCGAGCGACACTATCGTGTCCACACCGGGGAACGGCCCTTCGTCTGCGACTTGTGCGACAAGTCCTTTACTCAAAAGTCTACGCTCGATCTTCATCGCAAGAGCCACTCGGGCGAGAAGCCGTATTCTTGTCCTCACTGCTCGCGTCATTTCACGCAGTCCTGCAATTTACGCACTCACGTGGGCCGCATTCACAGGGACAAGCTGGCCGATGCAACGCAAGAACTTCAAGATGAGCAACATGAACCACCGCAGTTTGTAACTTACGAATCCAAAGTCGTGCTGCAATCTATTGAAGATTCCAGCATTCAGTTCGATGATTTGTCGTTTGCTGATTTATTGGCATGATAAAGCTAGTACGAACACTTTTTCACAACTAATTAATTTTTTGAACAGAAAAGCGCTCTCTTTACGAATGAAAATTTTAGCCATAAAAAATATTATAAAATCATTGTCGTTTGCTTGATCTTCAAGCACTTGAGTAACAAATAATTTTTATTTATTTCTACTGTTGAATGTTAATTTAAATTTTTATAAGCAGATGTTTTTTATGATATCAAAAGAAATTATTACATTTGAATGATCTATATGTATGTGTTTTATACTTGGTAACATTAAGAATTTTAAGACTGAAGTTTTATGAACTTTGATTAAGAAGCAATAGTGTTATTTTTTTAAATATTTATTAAATTATTAAATATTTAACAAATAACAACATAATGAACTTTTTTACACAAGTTATATATAATCATAATATTGTATTATACTATTACTATTGTTATTATTTCATCAATTTATTATAATGTGCATTATAATAAATTGATATAACAAGTAAAATTGTAATCAATTGCATTGTTGTACAATATAAAAATGGATCTATAAATTCATAGGCTGCACGTGCCTTAAAATGTTACAACTAATATGTATACATTTACAAAAAAAAATTAAATGCTTTTGCGATGAAAACGATACAAGTACAGTGCAACCAATTTAATAAATTCCTACGGCCTGTTACAATTTTTCGTGAGAATGTATAAAATCACATTCTTCGTCAGTTAGAGGACATCCATCTGGATGATTTATGTGAAACCAACAATCTTTTATTTTTCGTTTTACAGTCGAAACTTTTGGTTTCTTTTTTTTACCTACAGTCTCTTTACCGGGAACTCGAAAACGAACTTTTCCAGATTCTATTTTAAAAATATTTCCATTATTTCTTAACAAAGTTTGTAAACCACCGCATTCATTTTTCAATTGCTTCAATGATTCTGTATCTACTGCCTTTGCTACTTGAGCCAATTCTATTTCTCCGCCAGCGTTCCAAGTTTTTCCATTTTCAAGACTTATTAACCGTGCTTTGTGGAATAGTAATGAAACTACTATTTCGATAATACTAGATATTAAATCTTTGTTGACTTTTGTGCAGTTTCGAACTTTTTCAACAGATTCTCGAGGTTTAAAAGTACTAGACCAAGAATCTTCATTTTGAAGACCATTGGATCTTGCACTTACAATACTCTGAATTTTTACATCTTGCGATTCAAAATCCAAAGGAGCATAATTTCTATCAGTACCAATAATACAGATCCTTTTAGTTGATGGTATTCTTAATTTGTCTATATCCGTTTTAAATCCACAATTTTCACTTACGTCTTTTATGTATTGCATATAATCGTTGTACTGACTTACAGAGGAACTTTCTCTTTGATATTTTCGACCATCAAATTCATAGGCACAGCATGGTAATAAAAAGAAACGACATTTGTATGAACTTCTTGCAGCTATGACTGGAATCCAAGGTGTTAATTCATCGGAATGATTTCCAATAAGCCAATCTGTTTCAGGAAACAGACTTTTGGAAGATGGAATAATTGTTTTTACCTGTATTAAAAAAGTTATTAAAAATCTTAAAAATTTTAAAAGTTTTTTGAAAAAGATCAACAAATAAAATTTACCTCAAGATGCGTACTTTCTGGATAAAGATCCCAAATCTTTCTTTTACGGAGATCAATGCCTAATCCAGGATGTCCTTCACAATTAAGTATATGTACCAATAATCCATTGCCACAGCCAAGGTCTAAAAATGACTGTTTATTTTTTAAATTTAATCTTTTTCTTTCTGTTTCCCATAAAAGTAATAAATACGTAGCAATAGCTACATCTTCAAAAACAAATTTAAGAGGATCTGTGTTTTCTGGCCAAATTTTGATCATTTCTGCACCATATTTTAATTTTAAATTATTATACAAATCTGTATACTCTTCTGAAGATACTAATTTCAAGGAACCATTGATTAAACTATTTTTTGGTGTATCATTTTCAATCCATTTAATCAATTTTGGAAAAAAACAATCTTCAAACCATGATAAATTTGAATTTTCTTGCCAGCATTCTATGTTTTGTATATGAATAGAAACATTATCTTTTTCATACCTAATTTGATAAGAATATTCAAAACCCAACGATTTTTTTTCTTTGTCATAATTTAAAAAACTGAATGTCAATATATTAGAATTCAAATCAATCAAACTCAACTCTAAAGTATTTGAAAATGTGTTAACATGTCTAGGGATCAGTTTTGCAAGACGAAAATACATTGATTCATTATCCTTATGAATAAAATCAACATCTTCCAAGGAGCATTTTACCAATTCAATATTTCCATTAGCTAAACTTTTTAAAGATGTAAACAATTCTTCTTCAATATTTGATGGACTAGTGATTTCTTTTTTTTGATTAACAAACCATTCATATATCTCTGCACTATTAACATTCCTCAATCTATATACACTAATTTGAGCAGAACTTAAAATTCTACGATTTATCAGATGTGGACTCTTCAATAGTATTTCAGAAGCTTTCCAGAAATTGGCAGGGCCTGCGCTGCATTCCTTGGATATTAATTGATGAAAGTTCTGCATTTTAAAAAAACTATTTATATTACTGTTATATTTTTGGTGGATATGGTGATGGTTCTTTTTTATACTGAAAAAAAAAATTGGAGTAAGTACATTTCAAAATAATAGCAATAAAAATGTTAATAAAAAAAAATTTTTCATACTTTTTGCATTATCCATTTAGCATCCAGAAGAGCTTTTTCCATAATCTGTTGAATTCTTTCTGGATCCAGTTCAGCTACATGTTGTTTAAAACTCTACAATGTGTTAAGAACCTAATTATTATGATATAAAATCAAAGCTCAAATATTTAACACCTGTATCAAGTTACACAATACAGATGTAAAATTTGAATAATTATTTATATAAATCTATATATTCAAACAGTGCAACCCAACTTGGCCTCATGACGTAATTTTCATTTTTACTGCATGTCAAGTACGAAGAATTTTAAAAATAAATAAATATATTTTTACGAACCTGTTTAACCGAGTGTTTGTAAAATTCATCCGCACCTTTGGGCAATTTTTGACATTCCCTTAGCAGATACTTGTAAAGCGACTTGGGTGAATTCTTCAGCAATACTGTGCTTGTTACGACCATTACAAAGTTTTCGGGCCAAACACGCCGGGGGTTGCTTCTTCTCTTATCACGATTGACCCTTTTTTCAAATGATCTACCTATATATCGACTTGGCCGACGAAAGTACACGGGTGCTAGAAAATGTAGGTGCCTTATCCTATTTCAGTCAATATTTTCTTTTTTATGCTTGTGATCGTGAGCTCCAAATTGCACGGTATACCTATAGGCTATAGATGTAGCCTACAAATCTGTGCGACTGTGCAAGATATCGCATGCACTGCGTGATGCAAGAGTCAAGACACAAGCACTGGAGAACATAACCTTACACGTCAAGTTTTATTTTGCTAAATGTCGACTGCTACATTAATGAATCTGGGGGTCTTATTTTTATAAGTAAATTGTTACAAAATTGTTGTGAATGACACAAAATATTCCAAATTGCAACGTGTTTATGACATGAAAATATAACTTTTTTCTTAACAAATAATGTTGTTTTATTGAACCAATTGACATTTGTTAAAATTTTAACTGACACTCTGTCACTATATACAGGCAAAATATGTCATTTTTCAATGTAACTTGTCGAGGCAAGCTTTTAATTTCAAATAATTATTCAGTTAAATGGATACAAAGATGGGCCAGCTCAACAAATGAGCAAAAAACAGCAGGAATAATAGGTGATAGTTAAATTTTTTTTAATGAAAAAAATGTTAAAAATAAGCAATTTAAATGTTTTCAGTTATTGGCAATGAAATTCTCAAAGCTCAAGTGAGAGACACTAATTCACATTTCATATGCACACACTTATATGGCTGTGGAGTCAAAGTTGAAAAAGTTTGTAGAAGAAATTTTTATTATAATGCTAAGATGATTCATCACTAAAATTATATTTTTTTAAAGATTTCAGTGATAGGTGACAATGTGGATGAAATAGCACAAGAAATCAAACATTTTTCTAAAAAATACACACATGTGATTACATCTGGTGGAATTGGACCTACTCATGATGATGTTACTTACGAAGGTAAAATAATTAATCATACATTTACTTTTTGATATATCATTAAAGTTATGAGTTATTGCAGGTTTAGCAAAGGCTTTCAATGATACACTTCATCGACATCCTGCAATAGCAGAGGCTATAAGAAAGTATTTTCGAGTAGAAGATCCTTCATCTCCTGCTTATAAACTTTCAGAAGTAAGATTAAACATCTAAAAAATGGTACATTTTTGAAAAATAATTTTGATTACAATGTTTAATTTAGATTCCTAAGAGGGCAGTTTTGAAATTTGGAATCAATGAAGCTACCAAATTACCTCATAACTTTCCATGTGTCATATTAGAAAATGTTTATGTGTTTCCTGGCTCACCTATATTTCTAGAAAGAGGATTTGGGAGCTTATGCAAGGTAATGATTTATTCGTTAGGTTCATAAAGTATCAAATAATAATCAACCATAAAAAAGATCTATTTAAAAAATATTTTAATTTTAGGTGCTGTTTGATTCAAACAGTAGGTTTGCTTGTACAGAATTACTTATAAATGCTTCAGAAGAAGTGTTTGCAGATGTTTTAACTAGTCTTTCAAAAGAATATCCAAATGTTATATTTGGTTCTTACCCTGAGGAAGCTAGGTAATGCTTTAATTATTGAAAATGTTGTGCTCATTTATTTCTATTTTAATGAATAAATTTATCCACAGCAACTATATAGCTAGGGTGACAATAGAAAGTACTAATGAAGCTGATATGGAAAAAGCTAAAAGAAAATTTTGCAGTCTACTGCCACCTCATATTATCAAAGAGAAGAGCTGAAATTTAATGAAAATTCTATAAATTTAAAGAAAAATGTAACTAAGAATATTTCCAATTATTAACCACCAATTAGCTTGTTCACTTATTGTAATATTACTTTGTTAAAGAGAGATTTTTTTTAGAAAATTTACAGAAAAATTTTGATGGTGTTGTTTACAATTTTTATAAACTCTTTTGTTTTTTATATAAATTACTCAGATTACAACGAGATTTAATTGTAAAATATTTATTCATTATGGAATAAAAAACAATCATACAAATATTATAAAGTTACCAAGCAAAAGGAGTCAAAAAGCTAATGCCAATTGGCTTTGATCTGCATGTACTATGAGGTGAAAACGTTGTACCCGGCAAAAGTACAAAATAAAGCTTCTATATGTTCAATTATTATTCTCTTTTTATGCGAGTTTTTGTTATACTCTTTTTAGCATACCGTATACAAAGTGAAGCAGAGGGGCAAAAAAGCAGCACGGCTGAAAATCGAAAGAGCTCATGCATGTGTACTGTTTCTAAAAGACACACGCGGGCCCTGCATAAGTAAAAACTCACTTATTCGATCGTATACATGAAGAAGGCTCGTCTAGTTGAAAGACGTCTTCGTCTTCGTGTAGGTACACACAAAAGCTCCTAAATCGTCTTTTGAAACTAGGCGAATTCCCATCTTCCAGCGAGTGAATAATTCAGCCCCCGGGGTACACTTTGGCTATATACATTTGTGCGCGCAGCGTGTATTAGGTACGTCTTATCACAAAATATCGCCCGCAAGAATCACTGCTTTACTCCATAGCCTCGCGGGATACGTTGACTTGATTCGATGCAGCAACCATACACATTCTCATTTTTTGTTTTTTTTTCGCATCGGTTAGACAACGCCGAAAATTAGTCGAGCATTTGTTAAAAATTGTTCGAAATTCAAATAGTCGACATGCGCATAGGAGGGCAGCGGTTGATTTGCGGAACTTGGAAAAATGATTGTTTCGTGGGCGCCGCGCGTTGTGTTGTGGTAGCCGTTACACTTGTTATTCGATGCGCGTTTGTTTTGATTTTGTCAATGTACAATCGGACGCGAAAGAATAACGTGTTAATACATTGGAACTGCGTGTAGCAAGTCTTATATAGTGTATTCAAGTGCGTTTCTCTTACAATTAATATAAAACAATAAAGCCGAGTGATCTAGAAAACCCAATTTGTTGAAAAAAGTTAGGTGTTATTGTGACGAGTTTCAGTCGGGTGATAAATTGGATCTTGGAATCCGTGCATTGACGCCGGTTTACAATAGTGCGTACTAATTCATCTCACCACCAGTTGCGGCTAATTTACGGGATAGTGTGTGACGCCCGGTAGTTTTTGTTTCATTTGATGTTGTTATGGATCCATTTTGGGCAGATTGTGGTAAATATATTTTACTTCTTTTATTCATTTACCTTTTATTAAATAATCTTGAAATTAAGCCATCGATCAAAGTCGACTACGCACATGTGGTATCGTTGACTCGACTAGCTCTCCTTTGATACGAGCTCTCATGCATGCGTATAATATCTATTTCAAATTAGAGATATGTGTGTATACACGCAGATGCCCCTTTGCCCACGAGTGTATGAACACTTGACAGTTTTACTAACGATCAAGCGTATTATACATCTCAGATAGTACAGTCGAATTGCTGCCTTTCGAACGTGGGAGCGGACTCATGCGGTAAATTCTGCTATTATGTATCCACGAATGCGTCGCCGAGATGTGTCGCCGTCTATATAAGCACATATAATACGCGCCACAGCCGAAGAAGACGCTCGAATGTATCATAATAAACGTACACAACCCCTTGATTTCTGCGTTTGCTCTTATTCGATTTCGCGTATTTCTACATGTCTCGATGCTCTTTGAGGAGGCAGGGCAGCCGAGTCGAGCTCGCGTCGTAATTTAGCCCGCCTGCATACTTATACATACACGCGGAATAACAAGTGAAACAAAACCAATAAGTACAACGATTTTTAGCCGCTCGCTTATCACGCGGCAATAATGTTCCGCGCGCGCCCCTGTATATAAATTGAGATGCAGTTCATCTCTCGGAAAACTTTATTCCAGTCCTCTTTCCCCCTGTACAGCCATACACATACCTATATATACATATACGCTGGAAAAGCAAACTCGTAGATTGATTGTCAGGAAAATGAGATTGGACCTCAAGCAAACTTTGCTATTGATCCGACGGAGTTGAAACGAATTTCTTATTGAATAGGATCTCGACGGGGGCGAGGGAGAGAGAGAGAGAGAGAGAGAGCAAAAGGGGAGAGGCACGGGGAGAAAGGTAATATCGTTAATTTTAGTTAAGGACGTATTTCCATTAGTGCAAGAAGTTTCATAATGATGATTGCACTTTCCATGTGTATATAACTTCAAACTTTAGAGCCATGTTTTTTATCCTCTATCTCGCCTACCTTGTTTATTCTTATTCGAATTACTTTTTACGTTTATTACTTCGGGTAGGGCATAGAGAGTTTGAACATTTTCCCCAAATCGGACGCTCGGTAAGGTTTCGGAAGATGATTTTGTTTGTATTGTCTCGAGTTACGCACGCTGAGGGGTGACTGCGTTAGCTCGTATTTCGACCGTGATACTTTACCGAATGCAATTTTTTTTTAATTTATTCAATCTTACGAACGAGCTTTCAAGAATTTCACTCTTTTCTTGCTTCACAGTTGAAACCAATGAAATAGGTATATATACACGTGTACACGAATACCCACACAGTCATACACCAGGACTTTACTTGCAGTTATAAAGTTTTTCTTCGATAAATTTTCATTTCGCGGAATTCTCGTGGTTTTCATTCCCTGTTCACAAGAACGAAAAGAGGGGAAAGAGGGAAAGGAAGAGAGGCCAGAGCGACGGAGGGGGGGGGGCAGAGGTACAGAGCGCGCGACTTTACAAAGAATAAAACTTTTTATCATCATTCTTTGTATAAGAGAAGAATGTTAGCTCTCATAATAAAAATGAAAAAACTTTCTGAGAAATTTTTAATAAATCACATCGTAAAGTATTCTTGGCTCAACTTTTTTTTCCCTCCATTGCGTTACATATGCGAGCCAAGTGTCGCTAATTACACATTAATTTCAGATAGTCCAAAGTTTGCCAATTTAAATGGAGATATTTCATTTATGGATGTTTAAGTAAAAAAGAAAAGTCGAGCGAGGCCAGCGGCATCCGCATGCGCAGAAGCAAAGACGGACGGACCGACAGACAGAGATCGCTCGTTGCAGTTGGCGCTGCAGCTGCCGACGCAGCAGGACAAAAAATAAGTCGAAAGGCATTTTGGAAAGGTCGTTTTTTGCAGTTGAACAACAAGAGACTCGTCGTAACAACGACGATGTTCTAAATTTGCTCGAGTTGGTAATCATACGATTCTCATTCGGTCTATATCTCCCCTCCCTGCCTCTCTCTCCCTCCGTGTTCCCTTTTCAGGTAACGGGACTCGAAGCAAAGTTGTTCACTAACTCGTTTTGTTGCTTCCAAGTAACTTTTCAATTAGTCGAATAATTAAGTAGATTGTTCAGTTCAAATATGTAACGTTCGCTTCTTTTTCTCTTTCCATCTCGCTTTCTCGCTCGAAAATCTAATTAAGTTTAAAGTCACACACATGCGACATGTTCGTTTCGACAAATGAATTACCCCGGGTATCTTCTTTATCGCGCGGGAGAGATTTTTCGGGGAAAGTAGAAAAAAAGCTGCAAGAGAAGAAAAATGGCTATTCCTGGGAGACCGAAAAAACGTCATATCGGAGCGTGTATGGAGTCTAGTATTAGCGAGGAAACGAAAAATAGCAATGAAAAAAGGAGGAAAGAAAGGGGCAAGTGAGTTCGATGCATTCCGCTGCACGCGTCTCATTTTTCATGTCATGTTTCGCGAACTGTCATTCAGAACACTTCGTCTCGCTGCCTGCCTGCCTGCCTGCCTGCCTGCCGCTGCTTCGTCTGCGCGCGAATCTATCGCTCTCTGACGATGATGTATAGCAAACATTCGCCTAGATCTGCATCGCTTTATCATCCTTTTTTTACCATATCCGATATTGTTTCACGTTCATTTTGTGCTTTTATTTGTTTAAATAGCGCTTGTAAATCGTCGTAAACTGGACAGTCGGTTGAAAACCGTTTAAAAACAAAAGGCTGCTTTACATTTCGAATTTCTGCGATTTCAAAGTACGCGCTAGTCGCGTATACGGTTTGGAGCAAAACGTCGAGCACATTCGACTATTGTCGAGTCATAAAATAAGTTCATTGCTCTTCTCTTTTTCATAATAACATGGTAAACTTATATTTTCTTTCCAGCTTCGTTTCGGTTTTATTTGTATACCTCGAGTCTCTTTTCTTTCCTCTTTTGCTGCCTTTATGATGTTTTTCTTTAGTTTCTCATACATATACGACAAAAATCCCATCTTATACCATTTTCCTCTGTACATGAAACTCTCTCTCACTCTCTTATAAAATATACGTATGTATACAAAGCTTGCCCAACTTCATCTTTCTCTCTTTTACCCTCTCACGACCTCAACCCATTTATTCTCTCTCTCTCTTGCTTTTTAAAACTTTGCTCCGTTCATGGATCAATACTAGAGAAAATAACAAAGGTAAACAAGAGCGAGATGAATGACAAATATAAATTATGCATTCAACTTGTGCTGGCGAAAAACTCGCTCTTATTGTGAGGCGCTGCTGCTGTGTATATATTTGTACGTGGGGTGCTTGGTGTGGGTTGAATGGAAAAGGTTATATACCACGGAAAAGAGCACGAGGAGAAATGAGAGAGAAACGGCGAAAGGAGAAAATTATTCCTCGAGTGGGATGTATTAGCGAGCTAATAGTAGCGAGAAAAAGATGTAGCGACGAAATTTTCATCTGCAATCAAGTCGAACATGTGTTAGATGTACCGAATTAATGTCGTTTCATCAACTTAAGTTTTTTTAATAAGTCTAACTTCGTTAAGCTAAATGTTGATCATGATGGATGATAGTTAACGGGGTTTAATCTAGGTCACTCCTAAACCGCATATAAACACAATAAAAATATGATTGAGTTGTCGTACTTTTCTTGGAAATTTAAAATTTCATAATTAATGGTTAGCGAGGGCATATTGTGTAAGTCAGTTGGAAATAATAACGCTTATGAG